AATTGGCTTGAACATTTACTTTGCATGAATAGATACAAACAATGCAACATATTGTCAATATGGTCATTTGAGGGTTTTTTTAAGTTTTGGACTTTTTAGGATTTTTTTTTCTTTTTTGGTAGAAAAATAGTAAAATAAAAAATTTGTTGGATTTGAATAAAGCCCCACATCATTGATTTTCAAAGCAATAAAAGAGGAAAGTGTCTTGAAAAAGAAAAGGTAAGAAAATTTCCTTTTGAGTGACAAGATTTTCGAAGGGATTGGTGACTATTATTAGAAATGTCTTATACGATACCTTCACACTTCTCTGCGAACACTTTCATGTTTCAAACCATTTGTATGATTTCACTTATCAACTATAATCCTTTAAAAGACACGAACGTGGATTCGTGAACCTTATTTTCACTTGATCATGTTCCTAAGTGATGAATAATATAACAATTGATTTGAAAAAAAGAAGAGAAACTTTTTTTATTTCTAAAAAAAATTTAAACTCCATAATTTTTTTCTTTTTTTTAATGGTGATTGGTGACTATGCATGCCAGAACAATCCAAAAAAAAAAAAAAACTTCATCCTTGTCTCTAATATAAAGATATAAGGTATATATACTACCTTAACTATAATAATTTGTGACTTAGCAATGCTGACAAAATATTTCTCTTTTGAGACTTAGAATGGTAATGTTGAAACAATAGTCCTTATCTTACTTGACTTATGTTTGAATTTATTTGAGACAATTGTGTTAACGTGATTTGTTTCATTTTTAAACTGAGTTTTGAATGTTGAACTTGAAGTTGCATGTTTCTTTTAAAAAGAATTATTGGTTTTTCAATTTTTTATGGCTTGAACTTCAATGTTTTTAATTTTTTTTTTTTTGGCTTTAAAGTTTTGTTTTAAGTATTTATGTTCAATTCTCAATGTATATATTTTTTAATCTGATCTTTTTTTTTTGTTATTTGTAATTGATAACAAATTGTTTGTTTAGAGTTCAACACTGGTCATTAGTTAAAGAATCCTCATTAAAAGGATTCAAGAGGTATGAAAATTTTTTAATTAATTTTGGTCATTCTTCTATGTGAATGCCTTTTACTTTTAATATAAGCTATTTTTTCAATTAATAATGAGGTGCTGGCTTTCTTTTTTTTTTTTGTAATTAGTGATGAAAGTGTGGTTTTGCTTTTTAATTTAAAGAAGATTTAATCTAAACTCATTAAAATTGATGTTCTTTTGATACATGAGGTTGTTAGATGTTAGTTTCTTTAGTTTCCAAAATTTATTAGAAGTAAGATTCATTTGATATATTAGGCAATTTTTGAAGTTTATTTTTTCATTTAGCTTTATGGTATTTCAATTTTTGTTTTTATTTTGCTTTATATGTTTCTAGGCTAGGATTTCGTGTTTGCTCTTTGAAAAAGATTTAAATTTGAGTTAAAGGTGAGTCATAATAGTTTTAGAGTTTTAAGTAAAATAGACTTGCAAAATTAGTAAAAACCCATTTCATTGGTTTAAGATTTTATGAAGTCTTTATTTTTGTCAATCTTGTGAGTCTTTTGGCAACAATCGGAGTTATTGATCTATGTTGAGTTGCAAATAAGGCTACTTTTCTTTTGTTGAATTGCCAAGTTTCAACCATTAATAGAAAGCCAAGTTTTTTGTGATCCAATAATGATGACAAACAAACTATTCTTCAATGTATAAATTTGTGAAGTTATCATTATTGACATCAACTAATGTAAATATTCAAAATATAAATAGTTACATAACTTTTTTTCTCCTATACATTATTCAATATTTAAATTATTGATACATAGCATCATTTTACTCTAGCAATGAAGCATAGGTTTGAAATCTAATATCATTAAAAGCTATCATTTAATTATTAAAAATTGACTTTGAAAACATGTTGAAAATAAAAATTTATGTTATTTTGATAATTTTATGAAATAAAGTTATTTTCATTGCTTAAACGATTTAATTTTACTTTGTTTTTGATAAAATAAAATTATTTTTATTCTTAATGTGCTTAATTTATCTTTTTGTAGAAAATCTTAAAAAAAAAATAAGATCACTATAAAATGACATGGAAGCAAGTATCTTTTCATTGGCTAAGAGATAAGATTTGAATGCTTATGTAACATAATGACTTAATAAGGAAGTTTAAAATCTGTCTATATTTAAAAAAAAAAGAAATCCAAACAACTTTTGATTCTCTTAGCATATAATTATAACAAACTAATAAGATATGATTTCAAAGAAAACAAAAAAACATGTACCACATATAGTAACACCTTTTTCTTTTCCCCCACCTTTTGTGTTTGCACCAGAATATATTGTTTATTGTCTCTGTTATTTAAAAGAACATTTTCTATATTTCAAGTGGATCTCCTTTTAGTAAAAATAAACAAAATTTATAGGTTTTCTTAGGATTTTTTACCCAATAATCAATGCTAGCTATATCTTTGTCACTTAAAAAAAAAAAAAAGCAGAAACATAGATACACAAAGCGTGTTTTAAAATTTTTTGTTCATGTTATATAAATGGTAGAAAATGATATTGAGAGCCAAAAATACATTGGTTGATTTCACGATGTCCTCAAAAAAAAAAAAAAAGGGTATTATTATCAAATTTTTTAATCAAATGATTAAAAAAAAGTTACAAAAGATTACAAAATTTTTATATTCAAATCCAAACAACACCTTCAAAATAAGATTCAGCTACTGCCAATCACTCTCTTATTTAGCACCCAATGATCCTTTATTATTGCAATTCATTATTGTTGAAATGGCGCCACCAATTGTCACCCTCAGCAATATTTATTGGCTTTTGACTTTGCGTCATCAAATTTATGAATGCCGAATTATACCCAGGGATTCAGAGCCACCCAGGATTGGACTCAGGCTGAAAATTGGGCAGGGCAAGAATGACCGATGGTGCGAAAAGAACAATATTTAATGACCTGACCTTTCCCTCTCTATAAATAAATAAATAAATATATATATATATGTATTTAACTCAAGCATTTACATGATGGATTGGAAATTATTTTCAGATTTTATATTTAAAGTATTATTTAAAAAAAATTTCAATTTACTTGTGATTTTTTTATTTTAATAATTATTTAACTAAATAAATATTATTTATATAAAATTTTCTGAATTTATAACTTTCAACACCAAGCATAACGATATATCAACCAACTCAAAATCAGTGACTATATTTAAAGCATTATTAATTCATACGTCATCGGTATATCACAAACTGTCAGTCTATCACATCATTATTCAAATCAAAGCTGCTTATGTTGAATCATCAGTGACAATCAGTAATGTGAATTATTGGATAAACATAAAATAAAAAAATGGTACAATTTAATTCGTGATGCATAATTTATTTGAATCTTCTAAATACATCACTCAAAAATTTTCTTTTACATCTCATCATTTTTTTTCAAAAATATTTATATATAAAATGTCAAATTTATTTTTTAGTAATTATAATTTTACTATCTTCTTATTTTTTTTTCATTTTTTCATTCTCCTTTTTTTTCCTCATTCTTTTTCTTATATCCAATCAAATATATTTTTTATATTTTTGAAAATGAGATTTTTTTAAAATGAATTTTCAAGAACCTTAAAAGCTTTTCAAAAATTGATTTATGAAAGTCTTTAAGATTTTTTGAAAATGCATTTTTGAGAGTATTAAAGGTTTTTTGAAAATCAATTTTTGAAAATTTTGAATTTTGTAAAATTTATTTCGTAAACTTTAACCTATTTTCGTATGCATTTAAATGAAATAAAATAAAATAAAATTTGAAATTTTACTTTTAATCAATAGAAGATTTAAAAAATGTAATTTTAGGGTTAATTTGAAAGACTTATAGTTAATTTAGGTTTGAGATTGAAGAAAGAAAAGAAAGAAAAAAAATATTGAGGGTATGAAAGGAAAATTGATTGTTGAGCAATAGGATGTATTTAATAAAAATAAAACATTTAAATTTAAATTTAAAATGTGTTTAATAATAGGATAATAAAATTTCTTAATTTATTTTGTTTTATCCATGTATAAAAAATTATTGTCCGAAACAGAAAATTTAAGCGTGTGAAAGAACGTGATGGAGAAGTGGAAAGTGGGGGCTGGAATCGAGCCACGTATACCTCCATTCTCACCCCACATGGCTGTCCCCCTTGGTTGTTGGGGATTGGCCAGATATGGACGTATTGAAGCCTTAACCGTTAACTCAAATCCTGAACAGTCTATATACCATCAAATTAAAAAAAAAAAAAAATCCTGAAGTGGAAGTTTTTCTTTCTCATAAATTTAAACTAAAACGCTACAGACATTCTCAATTTCTAATTATATGAAAGCTTTCATGTTTTCTAAAGCTCCGCTTGCAGTTTGTGAGGTGTCTTTGGACGGTGCCTGGGAAGATTGTTTACTCGCCTTGCTTGCTTGTTTCCATTGCAGCACAAATTTCAATTCAAAAACAAACGCAGAAAAGGTTCAAGGACCCACCCCCACCTTCTTTTGTTGGACTTGAGAGTGTAGAAAAAGAGGTAACATCTCGACTGATGGCCATAGCCCATATACAGATAGATTGCTTTATTTTAGTAGGGTCCACTGAATTTTGGAGGGTCCATTTAGAGTTTGATTATTTTCATGGATGAGAATGCCCTTTCTCTCCCTCTCATGAATCATGATGGAAAACAATTTTCCCACTTTTTCCTTTTACTTTTTGGGTCTCTTGATGAATGATATTTTCATATTTTGGCATTTCATCATTGTTAGGCTTCTCACAAACTGGAGTTCGGTGGACCAAGCTGACTTGAGCTGAGACTGACTGTTACTTCTCATCTCAGAGTTTTTCTTTGTCAATTGGAGTGTGATAATGAGATCCACTGGAGATCAGACCTGAAAAGGAAAAAGGTCCACTTGAGATTGGGCCGACTGAATCAAATGGATTTAGGACAAAGTGCTTGTTTACCAAAAAAGGGAGTGCTTGAGGACCCGAACTTGTTCTTATTGCATATGAACGAGGATTATTATTCATAGGAAAATCCCTATACATGAAAATGAAATTGCAAAAAAAAAAAAGAGTTGTGGAGTATAAAAAAACCCAATTAACTACAATCACAAGTTTTGACGGAAGCTGATTCATGTTTCGAAGCCTCTTCTGACTTATTTGTTTGGACCTCATTTAGAACATTTCTAGCCCACTCGGCAAAGTGGGTCTCATTGTATCCAATTCTACCACTTTTGTAGAGTGACATACAGCGCCGATCACCATCTGAGTAGGGGCAAATTTCTCCGTCGGGGTCTCTCCATGCGCCACGGTGCCTCATCCCGGACCAACTAGCCATCCAATGATACACGTACTGGCCTACGCCAGCAAGTTTTAACCATCCTTTGGGAAAGAATTCCATCACGCTGCTGTTTCGATCCATTAGGAACATGTTGGTCAATTGCGCACCATGTGGTGATATTAGAATATCTGTTAAGCTCATTAGCTTCACCTGGATCAAACACCAACGCTTTTTCTTATCACATGAACTTTTTGGATTCATTTGAAAAAGTAAAAATAATTATTTGTATTGTCATTTTCCTTTAAAAAAAAACTATCCGTTTAATTATAAGGTGAAGTTTATAACCAAAAGACGATCAATGCCATGCATGTTACAAACATGATTCTTGTATCACATACGATTGAATCTTAAATTGACCAAAGCTGAATTTTGTTAGAAAGTGTTGGTGGGGCAGTGGGGGAGAGTATGCCCCTCAAAACACCCTAATAATTCGTTAGTAATTCTTCATTCAGAGTGATACCATTAAAGCATCTCTCTATTCTATACCTTATTTGCATAAGATTCCCTTGAGTGGGATTAGCATGCAATGATGGAGCCACATCAACCTAAATATCCCACTAACTTATTTTAATTGGTTTCAAATGTGTAACGCACAAAAATTTAAAAGAATGCATCGGAGGGCAAAGAAAATACTAACCTGTTCACAAAAGGTGAGATTGTTGGAGTAAGCCACCATTAACCGGCAGCCTTTTACTTTCTTGCACTCCTTCTCGAAGATCCCAATCACAGCTGTCACATTCCTGAAAGATCTTGGCCCAGTCCTCATTAGCAAGGTCATTCCGATGTCCGGCTTTTTTTGGTCAACCCTCCTTTCCAGGCTCACATTACAGAACGCCCTAGCCTTACACCTAATAAGATCATAAACTTCCATTCTTCTCTCCCTTGACATCCCTCCCTCGTTGTGTCTCATCACAGCAGCCTTTTCAAAGCAAACTGGCTTATCATCATCTTTAATTTCGTTAAACCCTTCAATGTACGGAACCTTGCCAAACGTAGCCTCCATCAGGGTGTTTAACCAGGTTCCCATCTTGAACCTGAGCTCACCCCAATGGTACAGGATCCATCTAGTGGGAATTTCACAACTATTTTTTCTATGCCAAGCAACAAAAGGTACCACAGCCGACAGACCATGCCATATGTTATCGTAATTGTAATGATTGTAAGATACAAAAGTCAGGCCTTTCATCAGGGTAGCATTGGAAGGAAGCGCTTCAGGCCATGCCAAAGCATAGTAGTTCCAGGAGCCATCATGGTTGTCACGGCCGTTCAGGCAGAGTAAACGACCTTTGGAGGATTCGGATGGAAACTGTTGGTATTGAACCTCACCTTCCTCGCGAATGTCATACAATGAGCTCATAAACCAGGTGTGGCCTTCAAGGGCTTTGTTTGCATAACGTAGGTCTTTCAGCGGGAGAAAAGTGACGGAATCGCGAAGCTTTTGAGTCATAGACTCCAGGTCCTTGGTGCAGTTGGGTAAGGCTAAGGTTTTATTGATGACTAATTTTTGCCATTGTTGCAAGAGAGACCATGAAGGTGAAGGGGATGCTGGTGTATGGAGTGACTGGATTTGTAAGAGAATTAAAAGGGTGACACAAATGGCTAGGATGTAAAGGGAGAGTTTGGGAGAGTAAAAAGAGAATGGCAACAAGTTCCTCTCTTGTTTGAAGCTTTTAGGTCTATGTGGTCCAGGACACGATTTGTTCATGGCTATGAAAAGAAAAAAAGATGGAAATGCAAAGATAGAAAGTGATAATCAGTGAGAAGGTCTATAGTTGATGGTTTGAAGACTTTGATCAGTTGAATGGAAATTGGTGTTCTCTCACTCTTAGAGAAACTGGTGACATATCAACATTCATATCCCACATGTTCTTTCTCTCTCTCTAAGAAAAGAAAATTTATATAAACATAATATAAAAAAAGAAAAAGTAGCTATGAAAATTAAGGAAAAACCCAACTTTTCAAATTCCAAAAATGTATAGCATATATAGGCCAATCAGAATTTTTTTTGGCCAGAGTATCAGGAATGGGTTTTTACCTAACTGAATTCTCATGTGTAATGTTTATAATTTGTATGGAAAATTCAATTCTAATAGTCTGATGCAAAAGTTGATAAGATATAATGCAATTTAAATTATTAACAAAAAATCCAATAGTGGAAATTAATTTCCCACCTGCATGCCATTTTCCAGTGCTTGACCTAGGAAAGAAGAAAAAAAAAGCAGAAAAAAATATAAAAAAATAAATCCAGATTTTATGGCAGGAATCAAGATGCACAGAGATGTGTAAAAGATTAAAAGCTATAACTCTGAAACATATTTCATTTGTATAATGTGTAGGTCACATGGGTAAAGCCTATTACGCTAAGCTTGTTTTCAGTGATTTGTATAATTTTAATTTTGTTTGCGAATAAAAAACAAAATAATTACTTAGAAGACAGAAAGCAGTGAATTACAGGGGAAAGAAATCGAAAGAAAAAAATAGGGCAATGGACATTTTCTCATGGTTAATAAAATGCATAACAATACTGTAACCCCTCTTCGAAATTTTTTTTTTATTAATATTATATTTAATTCCCTTTTTAATTTTTTAAAGATAATATAGTTAGAAAAAAAATTGGAGGATGGAAATAGGGGACTCTGAAAATTAAGGATTATTGGTTGAAAAAGTATTCCAATCCTTTGTTCTGACACATCGTTGTTCACTGACTACATATACAACATAATGTCTGACAAACTGAGAATGCATCATATATAAGTTTTTACTAAAAACAAATGATTTAGAATGTAAAACTGAAATAAATAACTAAGATCAAGCAGGTTCTTTACGTAACCAGCTGCAGACCAGAAGCCTAAAAGAAAACTAATTCCGTGAAGTTGTATGAAAAATTGAGAAGATTCCAATGAGCATTGAAATCTGAAGTTGCTTGGCCTACAAATCATTTCAAACTTCTATGTTACTACTACTTCTGGCTGTCATCTGACTCCTTTTCACGAGGGTATGCAAAGTCAACGAGTAATCAGAGCATTCAGTTAATCTAGTAATCCATTCAGTATTGGAGCTTGTTTATATGCTGGCAAAGCTTGATGAAAAACATATATATACAATTTTCAAGGTTTTTTGACTAAATCAATGAAGAAATAGTATTTTTTGACCAATTAAGCATTTTTCCTGCAGGTTGAGGTGTGGGGAAACTGGAGAATAACTAATTAAACCAGTGCAGTAAAAATAAATAAATAAATAAATAATCCACCCTGCAGCTGTGGGTCGAGAGATGGAAGAATGGAGGCATAAATTATGGGTTGACAGAATTATGTGGAATCTGAGAGGCAGAGGCAAAAGGAACAAACTACAGATACTCATCCCAAAGACACATGTAAAGTACAAAAATCATGATTGATACATAAAATGCTTGAATATAATAAAATGATAATCATTTTATATTATATTTAATTTATATTTAAAAAATATAGAATTACAAAGCCCAAGTGGATTGTGTTACAGAACTTGCTTGAGTGCATGCGAGCAAAGGACCAGAAAGATCGAAACCAAGACCCTAAAGACATATACGTTACCCAAATGTGCAGGACAAAGCAAAGGTCAGGTGCAGAAGTATATCCCAAGATGAGCAGCCTTGTGCTGGATATGAGAACTGCTTGTTGAAAGATTCTAAAACATTTAAGAAATGTGGTGCGGGCAGTCGGGTGCATAAAGCTTTGTATCAGCTCGGAAACAGGCCAAGTGTCACGGACTAAGCTTTCTCTCAACAAGCACTAGCCCGCGTGGCACTTGAATGGACGCTTCCACCCAAGTCAACCCTCAATAGATCGCGATCTGAACAAATAACCATAAACCATGGTTAGTCTCAAGCATTCACTATAAGGCACAATATATCAATATCAATCTCATCCATACACACAACAAGGCACATTCACATCGAGAAGAAAAAGAAACACATCGAGGCAACAATCGGCATTCAATCGAGGTAATTTCATTAAAATCGGGAATCATACATCGGGACCTCCCACCATCACCAGGCCAGGGGGCAGCCCATGGTGGGTGGCCTAAGCTCGCATAGCACCCGGTGAGACAGCCCAACAATACCCTGCCGGCTCACCCCCCCTAAAGAGCCTTAGAGATTTTAGAGCTATGCTACCAGTAACCGTTACAATGTTTGAAATGGGACACTTTTCCTAACACAAGGGTCTACCGGCCATGGCCCTATACATGGTGGCTCATGGCAACCTAAGTCCCGGTCATGGCCTTATACAAGGTTGGCTCATGACATCCTCCCCACCTATTCTAACGACGTCCTCGTCGACTTGCTGGCTTGAAATTCTTCAATCTTCCTTTGAAATGCTCTGGAGGTCGTGCTCTCTCTCCCAGCTGGTTTCTTCTAGGCCTAGTCCCTCCCACTTTACTAAGTACTCCCGAACTAGTCTTCGAGATATCTTGGTTTCCCTGTCAGCTAAGATCTCTTGGACTCGACGCTCTGAGGTGGTTTCATGGTGATGGCGGCTCTGGTTGGCTCTCTTCGACCAGCATCTGTAGGATCTGCATGGAATGGCTTCAAGTTGCTCACATGAAATACTGGGTGCACCTTCATCCACTTTGGAGGGTCGATTTTGTAGGAAGCATTCCCCACCTTGGAAAGGACCCTTACTGGACCTTCGTACTTGCGCACCAATCTACGATCTCTCTTCCTCAAGAACCTGGTTTGTTCAGGGACTAATCGAACAAGAACCAAATCCCCAACTTGAAATTTGAGCTCTACGACCCTTGTCTGCCCATTTCTTCATCCGTTTTGACGCTTTCTCTAAGTAGGCTTGTGCGATCTCCGTGTTTTGTTTCCACTCCTTGCTGAGGTTGAATGCTCTGGGATTCTTTCCTCCATATTGTTCCAAGGAAGTGTGGGGTAGCCTTGGTAATTGTCCGGTGATCACCTCAAATGGGCTCTTGTTGGTGGAAGAGCTTTTGTTGGAATTAAAACAGAGTTGAGCAACGTCCAATAATGAGGGCCAGTTCTTTTGGTTGGCGTGGACAAAATGCCTCAAGTATTCCTCTAACAATCCATTGAACCGCTCTGTTTGGCCATCAGTTTGAGGGTGATAGCTCGAGGAGATGTTGAGTTGGGACCCCAAAATCTTGAAAAGTTCTCTCCAAAAGGACCCGTGAATCTAGGATCTCTATCACTGACAATGTTTTGGGGGAGGCCCCAATACTTGACCACATGTTTGAACAATAGTCGAGCTGTGTCCTCCGCTGTACAGTACTTGGGAGCAGGAATGAATGTGGCATACTTAGAGAACCGATCAATCACCACCAAGATAGCTCCAAGATCGCCAACCTTGGGTAGGCTCGAGATGAAATCGAGGGAGATGCTTTCCCACGGTTTGGTAGGTACCGATAAAGGTTCAAGCATACCTGCAGGTTTCCTCTTCTCGACTTTGTCTTGTTGGCAAATGAGGCAAGTCTTCGTATATTCCATCACATCTTGTCGCATTTGAGGCCAATAATATCCTTGTTTCAATAACGCCAACGTGCGCTGCCAGCCCGGATGTCCCGCCCATGGGGTGTCATGACACTCCCTCATCAGCATCTGTCTCAGACCTCCTGCTCTTGGCACAAAGACTCGAGGTCCCTTGGTCCACAAGACCCCATTTTCTTTCCAGAAATGTTTGGACTTCCCTTCTTCCACTAGCTTCAAAATGGCACAGGCTTGCGGGTCTTTCCCTAAATGATCTCCAATCAACTTATGGATGCCTGTAGTGGCTCTGCTAGCCGCCATTGGGGCCATTCTTCTGAGGGCCGCTAACTCTGGCCGCCTGCTCAAGGCATCCGCCACTTGGTTAGTCTTTCCCGCGGTATGCTCAAAACAAAAGTCGAACTCAGCTAAGAATTCCTGCCACCTAGCTTGTTTCGCCGTGAGTCTTGGTTGGGTGAGAAAAGTGGCTAACGGCTGTGTTGTCTGTCTTCACGACAAAGTGCGAACCCAACAAGTAATGCCGCCAAGTCCTCAAGCAATGAACCATCGCAAGGAGCTCTTTCTCCTGGGCTGTATATTTCCTTTCAGCTTCACTCAGCTTCCTACTTTCGAATGCTACCGGGTGATGTTGTTGTAAAAGCACACCTCCAATAGCAAAATCTGATGCATCCGTCTGGACTTCAAAAGGCTTTCCAATATCAGGGAGAGCTAAGATGGGATCCTTCATAATAGCATCCTTCAATCCCTCAAAGGCCTCTTGGCACTCATTCGTCCAACACCATTTATGTTCCTTCTTCAATAGCTCCGTGAGGGCCGTGGTCTTACGAGAGTACCCTTCCACAAACCTTCTATAGTAGTTGGCTAGTCCCAAAAAGGAGCGGAGCTCACTAACATTCTTCGGTATCGTCCACTCTTTGATGGCCCTGACCTTTTCCATGTCCATTCGGATGTGGCCACGTTCGACAATGTGATCGAGAAAATGGATTTGGGTCTAAGCGAATGCACACTTCTCCCTTTTTACATATAACTGGTGGTCCTGTAACCTTTGAAATACCTGGCGCAGGTGTTCTTGATGTTCTTCCAACGTGGAGCTATATACCACTATATCATCTAAATAAATGACTACAAACTTGTCTAGGTAGTCATGAAACACCTGATTCATCAGTGTACAAAATGTGGCAGGAGCATTGGTTAGTCCAAAAGGCATAACAAAGAATTCAAATGCACCATACCGTGTTACACAAGTGGTCTTCGGCTCATCTCCCTCGAGGATTCTGACCTGATGGTATCCCGATCTCAGGTCCAGTTTGGAGAAGTACTTGGCCCCGTTCAATTGATCAAACAAGTCTGCTATGAGCGGGATAGGATATTTGTTTCTTACGGTGACTTTGTTCAAAGCCCTGTAGTCGACACATAAGCGCAAGCTCCCATCATGCTTTTTCTGGAATAGCACTGGCGCTCCGAAAGGAGCCTTTGATGGTCGGATGAACCCGGCTTGTAGAAGCTCATCTAACTGTTTTCTCAGCTCGGCCAACTCTGGTGGGGCCATGCGATAGGGAGCTTTAGCAGGGGGTTTTGCCCCTGGGAGGAGTTCAATTTCGTGGTCCACTGCTCGTCGAGGGGGTAGAACCTTGGGCAGCATCTCTGGCATCACCTCTCTGAATTCTTCTAACACTTTCTTCACGCCATTGGGTATTGGTTCTACTTTCGACCCTTCTTTGTAGATTGGCATGGCCACAAAAGAGGGTTCCCCTCTCTTTACCCCTTTCTTGAATTGCAAAGCCGAAATCATTTTCTTCCCACTCTTTGGCAAGATATTGGCTGGCACCACACATGGGTGTTCTCCTAAGAACAACAAGCAGCTAGCAGCGGGGATAGGGATCACTTGAGCCAACGTCATGAAGTCCAATCCTAGAACGACATCAAAGTCATCCATGGGGGAGACTGTGAAGTCTACCTTCCCTTCCCATGGCCCCAATTGGGTTGTCACACTTTTTGAGCTTCCACTGATTGCAAAGGCTGGTGAATTGACCGCCTTCATTCGCCCACAGTCTTTACTAATCTGAAGACCACACCTTTTTGCTTCTTCTGGTGTGATGAAAGTGTCGGTTGCACCTGTATCCACCATGGCCTTGGTGGCTTTCCCATTGATCGTCAAGTTCACGTACATCAAGCCTCTGCTTTGCTCTTTCTTTATAGTGTTCAGTTGAGTGCGAAGGGCACTGAGGAACCTTATTGAGCCCATCCTGGCTGGCTCCTCTTCAGCTTCTTCAACGCTCTCGGGTGCTTTTGCAGACTCTTGGGATGAGGTCCTTAAGGCATTAAGGGCTCCTCGGTGCGGGCACTCAGCCACTCGATACGGCCCCTTGCAAAGAAAGCAAGCAAGCGGTTGCCTAGGCTTGAAAATCCCCGCGTTGTTTGTCCTAGGCTGGGTGCTATCTCGCCCAAAAGACCTCCTGTCTGATCCCCAACTGAAGGGTCGGTCCACCCTAGTTATCTTTCCCCCACTCCCAAGATTAGAGCTACTGCCAGTTGGTGGAGGGTTCTTCCGTTTTAGCGAACCATCATTAAAGTCATGAAGACGTTCCGCTGCAGCCATGGCCGTCGCCACAGCTTGCACTCTTTGCCTCTGTAGCTCTGTCCTCGCCCACGGCTTGAGGCCCTCAATAAAATGGAATAACTTGTCCTTTTCGGACATGTCCCTAATATCCAGCATCAGGGTAGAAAAATTCCTCACGAACTCTAGCACCGTTCCGGTTTGCACCAACTCTCGAAGTCTCTTTCGAGCCATATAATCCACATTCTCCGGAAAAAATTGGTTTTTCAGTTCATGCTTCAGCTCCGTCCAAGTCTTAATCGGGCACTCGTCATCGACAAACTTGGAGCGCCACCACAACTTGGCATCCCCTACGAGGTACATCGATGCCATTGTCACCTTGTCTTCCTCTGAACTTGTGTGTACAGCTCGGAAGTATTGTTCCATGTCAAACAGGAAATTCTCAAGTTCCTTAGCATCCCTTGCCCCCTCATAGCACCGAGGCTCCGGCACTTTGGGCCTTTGTCCCCTGTCCGTCGAGCTCGAACCCGAACTGGCCACCGCCATTTGTAGGATGCTCATCTGGGCCCTGAGCTCCTCAAACTCCTTGTGAAGAATGTTCAAGGCATCTCTAGCCTCTTCACTCACATTGTGGAGAGTATCGGACAACTCCCGCTGGGTTGTCTCGATCTCCCTCACTCGATCTTTTGTCACCATATGAGTTTTCATTGCGGCCACCGCGGCCTCAAGTTCCTCAATTCTCTGCTGATGATCCAGTCCACCACTTGTGGCCATCTCATCCATTTCTCTAGCACTTCTCAACCGTGCTCTGATACCACGTGTCACGGACTAAGCTTTCTCTCAACAAGCACTAGCCCGCGTGGCACTTGAATGGACGCTTCCACCCAAGTCAGCCTCAATAGATCGCGATCTGAACCAAATAACCATAAACCATGGTTAGTCTCAAGCATTCACTATAAGGCACAATATATCAATTCAATCTCATCCATACACAAACAAGGCACATTCACATCGAGAAAGAAAAGAACACATCGAGGCAACAATCGGGCATTCAATCGACGGTGAATTTCATTAAAATCGGAAATCATACATCGGACCTCCACCATCACCAGGGCAGGGGGCAGCCCATTGTGGGTGGCCTAAGCTCGCATAGCACCGGTGAGACAGCCCAACAATACCCTGCCGGCTCACCCCCCTAAAGAGCCTTAGAGATTTTAGAGCTATGCTACCAGTAACCGTTACAATGTTTGAAATGGGAACACTTTTCCTAACACAAGGGGTCTACCCGGCCATGGCCCTATACATGGGTGGCTCATGGCAACCTAAGTCCCGGTCATGGCCTTATACAAGGTTGGCTCATGACACCAAGCGCGCGCGGGCACGTAAGATTCTCCAAGGGCCAGGTGCGAGCATTATAGCGAACACTGTAATGCCCAATCAAAATCTCCCAATCCGTGACATAATTATTATCTTAGTATAACATAATTCCTTCCTCCTAAAATAAAAAAAAAATTATTTTTAATTTATAAAATTAAATTCATATATCTTATTATATTTTTAAAAATTATATAAATTTTGAAAAAAAAATTTTAATCAGTAAATTATTTTATCGTATCAAATACAAAATAATATAATATTATTTAATATAATCTTATTTATAATATATTTTATCATATCTTATCATAATTTTAATTTGTGTTTCAAATATATCATATTACCGGAGAAGTCTGTTAAAAAAAATGATTAACTAAACTGCATGCCCCTTACAAGGCAGCATCCATAAACTTCAGTTTCTATTGACATAGCAAATCTGCAAATCATATTCTTCCAGTAGGTCAAGTTATGCTAAAGCCAGATAGCAAATCAATCACATCAAAGTTATACAAATGATTTCCTCAAAAAATAACAGACAGTCAGGTCAAACATCCTACCAATTAGACTTATCATAACTGTCTTTAGTATTTGCCATCCGGTTAAACCTTCGGTCAGCTTATTATAAGCACTTTTGAGCATTGGACTCAAAATGCTGTACAGAGGTTGTTGCCCTTAATGTTAGAAGAACACTCTTGTTGAACAGGACCAGTGGGGCCACATAGCCTGGTTCTTTTTGGTTCAGATATCCTCACGCGAGAAATTGAAACAGTTAGAGCATCAACCAACACAGAGTCCTGCACTTCTGGCCTTGTAGATGAACTATCAGATGACAAAAACTGGAATGAATCATCATTGAGAAAGCCACTGGGTATTATCTTCCTTCTCTTTGACACTACCCCAGGTGAGACAGTCAGTTGTTGGGAAGTCAGCCTTCCATGGTTTCTCATTTTTGTCTTAAAAGCAACCATCTCCAATGTTGCTTCAGTATGGAACAATATCCATGGATGCCCTGGAAAATTTTAGTCATAAATACATCAAGAGACAAAATACAGAACTTGGATATTAATTCATGTTTTCTTTCTCTCTTTCTGCATTTAATTCCATCTTCACAAAACTACAAACTAAATAAGTATATAAACTCTTAGATAATTGCTCCATTTCCCATGGATATATGCACAAACTACAGTCAAATCTAGTGTGTATGGATCGCTTCAAAAGTACCTCTTACTTTAATCAAAGATGTGGTTAAACACAGATTAGAGCCTTCCTGCGTTTTGCATAAATTAGTTGATGCCTTTTATCAGATGTTTTCTCTATGTAGAACATGACTGGATGAACAACTGAGCAGCTGGTCTATTAAATTGGAGATCAGAACAAGTTCCTAAAGTAAGATGAGGTGAAACTCTAAGGCAGAAATTAAAACTAGTGGCCCAGAAGACGTTGAGAAGTTGACTTAGGAAGGCAATAATCCATGGATGCTTCAGTAGCATTTACCGTTTGTGGAATCAGGACTGCATGATAAAGCGTGAATAGTGCATGAAACTAAATTGTCTCTCATAAAACAGCCACTAATGAAATGTTTATAAGTGTTTTACATTTATGTTTAGCAGATCAATGAACCTATTCTTGGCAGAGTCACGCTTCAATGCATTAACTGCAGTGTTTTCTACAACTAGATATCTATATTGTGACATGCAGCCTCATATAATTCAGAAAAGTATTGAGAATACACTATGCTTACTTAATACTTCATCAGCGGTTAACCTTGCTGAAACATCTCTTGTCAGCATATGGGCAACCAGATCCCGTGCAGGTTGAGAGATGGACCTCCATGTTCCATTCTCAAAATCAAGGTCAACATTCTTAATAGCCTCAAATACTGAATGCAAAGTATCACCTTGGAATGGAAGCACACTAACCAAGAGAGCGTGAAGGAGGACACCAGCACTCCAGACGTCAACTTTTTCCGAATAATTGCCCATTAAAACTTCTGGGGCTGCATAAGCAGGACTCCCTACCACACCTGTCAAGCTCTGACCTAGAAGAAAGAAAGCAAAATGTTCATTTAGAACTACCCATAAGTGACTGCTGTGATAGAAACAGTATAAAACTTAAATGGAAAGGCAACCTAGAAGAGAACACAAAAATAACGAACCACTATTAGACATAGATGAGACAACACACGTTTCAGTTCAAACAAACGCACTATTACGTTATGTCGTTTCACTAAAAAGGGGGTCATGCTACAAAGCTGATCATCATCTTAAAAACTTCATTTCCTAGGGAGAAAACTTTGGATGTCTTATTTTTGCAGTTTAGCCTCTTCTCATATTTTTATAACTTTCATTTTAGTTTCAAATCTAACATGCATGTCAACATACCCTCAAATTCCAATATGAATTGAGTTAAACCCAAAGCAGTTGGATGCTTGATTTATCCAACAATTTATTTTTTGCATCAATCATGATTCACCATACTTAATCTACTGCTGGACTCAAAGTGGTTCAACTAAAGGAGCAGATGTCAGCAGATGCTGTAACTAGTCGGAAAATAAACATAAAAAATCCACTATAAATTTACAAGGTTAAATGGTCCACACTCCAGAACATACCAGTGAAAGAAATTTGAAAAACAAAATTACCATTTGACATCCTCACAGCTAATCCAAAGTCAGCAAGTTTCATCTGTCCAGAAGCTGTGAGAAGGATATTCTCAGGTTTTATATCCCGATGAACGACACCTATATCGTGGCAATATTTGATAACTAGAACCAGTTCCTTGAGTATATTAGCAGCACAATACTCTGAATACCGCCTCTGTTTAGCCATCTGATCAAGCAACCGCCCCCCAGAGCAGAGCTCCATCACAAGAAAGAAAGATTTCAAATCCTCATATACCGCCTTCAATGTCACAATACCAGGATGACCAGAGAGGTGTTGCATTATCTCCACTTCCTGATGCACAAGCTCCTCACCCTTGCGTAATACTTTGCATGCAAACTCTTCGCCATTCACCTTACTTCGACACAATACAACAGATCCAAACTTTCCACTCCCAATTGTTGCACCCAAATCATAATCTTGCTCAATATTAGTTTTACAACCAAATTGAGTTGCTGCATCAATACACCCAATTTTCCTCTTAATGCCCCTATTGGGTGGTTCCAAAGATGCACTCCCACAAGGTGGGGCAGTGGCAATTCCTTTAACTACACTCATAACGGAGCCAACAGCTACTTTAATTTCATCTTCCTTACACTTCTTTTTCTGCCTTGAATAATCTTTCAGCGACAAGTGAGACCAAACAACTGTAACAGGAGTAAAAGACCTGCGACATGATGGCAACACTTCCAATCCCTTTCTCTTCTTCCGCAGGGCCTCCATTAAACATTTCAAGGAAGACTACTTCCCAACATTCCTAAATGTTAAAACTACTAGCAACCAGCAAGGTATTGGATTCACCAAGTCAATAACATAACTCCAAAATATCTCAAATCTAAAACTGAACAGCTGAATTCCTTTCAGCAAAAATTAAGTAAAAACTGCTCTATCATAAAGTTAAATATTTGAGCACTTCCTGCATTTCCAGCAAAAGGTATCAATTAGATGACACCATTATTCTATTCATTTAGATATCAATTAAACACAATATCAAAAAGCCATTTAGCAAAGCTTAAACCTTAGACACCAGAAGCCGCTTGCTTTTCGTCTTTCGACCCATATGAACAGACATATAAAAAATTCTCAACGTTGATCGGCTTGGATTTGCAAATACAACCTGATAACATGAGAAATCAAACAATTCATGAACCCAAAAATGACTAAAGAAAAAGAAAAGGCAAGCAACTATCAAAGGAGGGAGAGGATTAAAAAAAGCTTCTTTTAATTGCTGTGAGCTTTATCATTTTTTCTTTTTTTTTTTTTTTCCTGAATGAAGATCAGAGGAACAAGAACCGATAGTTTTTGGACTACTAAAGAATTAATAAGATCTATCCCTGAATTCCCTTTAAAAATGTTAGAAAAAAAAAAAGAAGAAGAAACCCGGAATCTGCAGAAATTTTCTTCCCGTTTCCTTTCTCATCAGCCAGAGAAAGGAAATGGGAAGAAATGGTTAACTGATCAAATCACATCAACCCCAAGGCTTTTAGTTCAGAGAGAGATAATAACAGTAAACCCTTCACTCACCAGAACGTAACACCAAAGGTGCAAAGAGGGTTTTCTCAGGAATCAAACAGATTTCTATGAAAACCAAATACTTAAAAAAATGGTTGTTTCTTGGTTTTGATAATATGAATAATAACAGAAAATTAAAAAAAAGAAATGAATTACGTTCATGGAGAGGAAAGGTGAGGGAAAACAGAGGGGAATGAAAATGATGTGAAGTAGTACTAAGGGGGGTTAAAAGAAGAGGGTTTGATTGGAAGGGAAAGTTTCACGCTTTGAATGCTACTATTTTCTTCTTTCATTCTTCCTTTGTGTCTAAGCTGACCGAAGAAAGACAGAGAGAAAAAAAAAAGAATAAAAAAGAAAAGCACGTGAAAACAACATTTTGCTTCCACGGTGTCTGGTCTGGGTCATGCGCGCGTCTTTATTAACTGCTAATCCAACAGCTTCTTTTTACCCACACCATATCTAGCTGAAGTAAATAGTGTAAAACAGTACAAAGTAAAAAAGAAAAGAAATCTGACTTTATTTTGTTTTTACAGCCCGTTCAGTTTTCCGTTGCTCCTTGTAAATCCAACTCAAAATTTGCACCCCCTCACCCCCAAAAAACAAAAATTCAAAGTAAAAAGAAAAAAATATTCTTTTAGAATGAATAAAATTTTCTTGAACTTAAAGTAATTACTGTATACTATTTGGACAAAAAATTTTAAAAATTAAGATTTGAATGAAGTAACTATCTCCTTTATCGCTTACTCTTATCGAAAAAATATTACTTATATTATAGTTAATTAATTATAATTTAATTTTATGTAAGGTTTATAAAAAATTATAACTGTCCATTTTATCCATTTTCATATAATTTTTTAATTGTAAGTGATTAATTATTGTATTGTAATAAAGAGAATTATAAATAAAATGTGTCAATTTTTTATTAGGATAGAGATTTTTCAAAACTTATTAGATTAGGACTGGAAACCCAATAGAATACCCAAGTTTTTAATACATAATTCACAAAATTATAAATGTGAAAAAAAAAAAAGAAATGGAATTTATTGTGAAATTGTGAAGATGAAGCCTTCCAACAACAAAACAGTGTTTAAACAAGAGTTTTGGTTGATCCAACATGCAATTGCTCAACGCCCATTTGTGTCAACGGACACAGGGTTCCTATGTACAATTTACGTTTCCTCGCGACAAGCATTCTCTTGAATTATTTAAGCAACAAAGAGTTGATTTTGTTCACAAGGCTTGTTTTCAACTCTCCATTGGTTTTCCACAATTCGTGGTTGACTTGGGTCACGTTTCATTGTATTTACGATTTTGGGTTCTCAGTGAAAATTTTGACTCGACCAATGCTGCCTTATAACGTCGAGACGTTTAAGAGGCAACTAGCTTATTTCTTTGGGTTTGGGACATACGATATAAAGCGTATCTTTTGTGTGGCTTCCTTTTTTGTTACCTCAAAATAAGATGGCGTGTGAAATCCACCAATTCACACACACACAAAAGGAATAGGTGCTTTTGCAAATTCTAAACGCCAAATCTCGAATAATCCATATTCAAGATTCCAACATAACTCATTGGTAAGTCTAGAAATTCACATCAAATTAAAAAACAAATTATAGTTTCACAAGCACTTAGATATGAAGGGGCAATGATGAGAAAATAACTTAGGCTCTGCAGGGTGTGTGCATTACATAAAATATAAATACATGATCAAAACAGACAGCAGCTGCAAACCCCCTGTTTTCTATTTTCTCTTCATCCATCAGTTATTAAGATAAGAGTATGAGAGCCCACCTTACTGTCAATTATGAAAAAAGGCAAATAGTTTGCTTTCGAGAATCTGTGAATCCTACGTTTCAGAAAATGGGAGTCAAAAAAAAAAATACCAGTACCAATAATTGGCCATATCTTGGAACTGCAATACAGTCACCGAAGAACAAGGCAAGTCTGCAAGAATTTCAAGCATGCTTATTTTTTTTCTTCCAGAAGTCCAGCCACCATGGAGGCGTTCTCACAAATTTTCTTTCCTATCCACATTTAACTCCAATAGATTCCTAGTCCTTTGTGGGACTGCAGTTTCTCTGAATCAGAAGCAAATGTAAGTCATTGGCTTTCTCAGTCAACCCAAAATCTGCAAATGCACTCAAAATCCTATTACAGGCATAGATATCAAAGTCTGTGGTGGTGGATTGCTTCCATTGATCAATAACCTCTCCCACTTCTTTCAAATGCCCAAGAATCGTATATGAAGAAAGAATGCATATGTAATTTCTGCTTGTCATTTTCTGTTTGGTCATTCTTAGAGATTTCCATATCTGATCAATTTTATCTTTGTTCCCCAAGCCTGCATACAGCATAACAAGAAAGTCATAAGTTATCCACTCCCTTTGTGTGATGCCCTTCTCTGTTTCAATAGGAGAGCTGGACTCCGCATTTGCAAGACGGCTAGCGGTTACATAAACATTTACAAGGTTGATATATCTCATCCAACCATCATTGCAACTAGAGTCAAATCTCATTTCATCCAGAATCCTTTTAACTTGATCTATGTTTAGAGCTGCAGCAAAAGAACTTATCCAAAGATTGTAAGTAAAGATATCTGGTGCAACTTTCTGTCTTTTCAGCTCTTCTACAACAGAAGAAACCTTCTCCACCTGCCCAACTGACATGTATAGAGTCATGATCTCATTGTACGTAAGGGCAGGAAATGACAGATCTGACTCCTTTATCCTCTCATAAAGTTCTTCCACCTTTTCAGTCAATTTTGCCGCAGCGTAAGAGTGGAGTAGAGCAGTGTACGTTTCACTAGTCTTTGCAGTCGGAGGTAAGTCTTCAAAATAGCGTTCAGCAGCATCAATGCCAAAAACTTTTGCCATCAAGTCGATACGAATTGCATAGTCAGTATCTGATAATTTGTACTCTTCATGGCTAACCATCCATTCTGATATCTGCAAGTATAAATTGGTAAGACAAGAGAATTAACCACGAATTCTAACTGAGAAATCAAGAGCTGCACAAACTATAAGGCATAAACATTTTCATACAGATGCAAGGTGAAACTTTGTTTCTGATATTCACCATTTTGATTGCAATCAACTAAAAGATATTTTAGAAAAGGGGAAAGAAAAAGAAACTAACCCAGATTTTGAAGGTGCAACTCAGTAAGGAATACCAAGAATAACAGGAAAAAAGATTTGAGATTTCCCTAGAATCTAGATACATAAAGATGTTGGACCTTTGTATTTCAGAATCTCAAAGAGTCACCCTCAACATCAAGAAAGTATTCATCATTACCAAATTTCACTACATGCTCTCTTATAACTGAATAAACACCTGAAATTAATAAACTGGCTCTCACATAACGCCATAGTAGTCAATTCAACTTACTGAAGCAGAGAAAGTGAAGAAGTCTGAAAGAAAAGAGGTAATCCGAGTCTTTTACAAGCAAGCCTAGAAAGAGAGAAGACAAGACTCAAGTATTCATAGTTAACATGACAAGAAACTCACTGCTGTGGTACAGCTAAACATCCCAGCTAGCGACTTGGTGAGCTTAATGAGTTGCTTCGACTGTACACGACACAAGATTAGCCAAAAACATTTATTAAGAAATTCTCTCTCCCGTCATGTGTTTATCAACAGATTAGACCATACCCTAGCTGATAACATTCCTAATCAATGGATTACAGAGACAACAATTGGCCAATCCCAATTACTGAAACCTAAGGAATCAAGCAGTATATCTCTCATGCCACAATTGATGAAAGTTTCAATAAGGATTTTCAAAGTGAGTAAGAATTACTAATTTCTATGGGTAAAACAAAGCCGCCCCAACACATAAAAATCTTCATTTCATTTTAATTAACTTTAATTACTGCTAAAATATATATATATATATAAAGGATATTTAAAGAAGAAAGAAGGAAAAGAACCTCGAGAGCATGCTTGAAGCGCTGGGATTTTCTAAGGTCTTTAGAAATTTGGCGGAGGTAAGAAATGGAAACTGGGTTGCCCTCACCCACCCATTTCTCGATTACGGTAGTGACGCTCCGCTTCGGAAGCCTCAGCCGAAAAATGCGGCTTCTCAGATCATCGGTTTCCGAATTATTCGGATATTCGTCCACGTATTCAGTGGTGGCGGTGCCCGACGACAACAGCCTCGACCAACTGCTGCAGTTGCTGCCTCTCCTGCATATACATAAATATATTTCACAATTTAAAAAAAAATAATCTGAACTGAGAAATTGTTAAGAAAGTAAGAATAATAAAGATAATTACCATCTGAGACTAAGAAAGAGGGAGCGCGACGCCATCGAAAATTTTCCACAGAGTACAGCCAGGGTCTTGTGTTAAATACTCGGACTACTTTGGCACTTAGGCTGTGTTTGGTTCTCCTTTTCTTTTCCTTCCCTTTGGGTGCTTTTCTCTTATCTCATTTTTTTACTAGTAAACTTCAATCATCTTAACAAAACGATTTTGAACCCCTCCCCCCAAAAAATAAAAAATCTTAACAAAATGATTAAAGTACATTAGTTTTTTTTCCCCTAGTTTTGTTTTGATAAGTTTTTGTTGTTGCAAACTCAAATCTTGTGTACAAAAAAGGAATTATAAAAATATGAGATTTAATTATATTGATTTGTATTATTAATTTTAAAAATTAATATATAATAATTTTAAATTTTAAATCTTAAACATTTGCGTCCTTTTTTTTTTTGTTCTTAACTTTAAATTAAAAAAGAAAAAACCTATTAAAATAATCCTTCAACACTTTTGTTTGTTTTTTTGTCTTTTCATTTATAGCAATTATATTCACTCATTCATTTATCTTTAGCAACATCCTAGCTTGCTTAATCATTGGAGATTATTTTTAACTCAGTTCCTTCCTGCCAATTCCTTTATACCATGGATTGATATTACCCTGATTCACCGCAACAGTAAATCAAATAAGGAGTTTAGTGTTGTACTGTTATATCATCAAAATACCAGACTTTCAACCGCCTCATCCAAAAGTTTGATTTTCAAAGTTATCAAAGATCACAAAAGGATTTAGGACATCCAACATAAGCTTAAATTATGGATGAAATATGAACAGCAAATGATACATGGTAGAGACAATTGGTTTAATTTGATGCAATAAGGATAAAGCACATGTTTAGTGTCACGGTCTATATTAACTTATAAAATATTGTTCGTTTTAATTCATAAGGTTTCACGATTTTGTCCAACCAATATGAGATTTATGGCTACTTTTAAGACCATGACACTCAGGCCATTTCTATTTCTGAAGCTTGATTTTTCTTCTTGTTTTCTTGGAACTCGCCATAGAAGTAATACAGAGATCCCCAAAGTGATAAAACAAGGGATATAGCTTTTTCAACTTGGAACTTTTCATGGTAGAACAATACAGCTAAAGATTCTGTCACAGGAAGCAAAGCCCCAATTATTATACCAGAAAGCAATGAGGAGCCGGAGAAAATCACTCCAACAGCTCCCATGAAGAAAAACTGCCATAAGATTGCATTCAACATGAGTACCACATAGTATGTTGATTGTCCTAGCTCATATTCACTTGCCTCTCTTGGAATTGCCTACAATAAGCAAGAGAATTAAAAAAAAAAAAAAAACTTAGCAATATGAAATCAAACATGATAAAGAATTTTTCAGGGGATGAAAAATTTCCCTGATCTTGATAGGAATTGGACATACACTCATAATTAGGGGCATATTTCCTATTAACATATAGCAATAGAAATGATAGGGAAACACCACTGTTAATGATTCAAATAAAGTAGTGTGATAGTGGTCTATTTGAGAGAAGGAAGGAGATATGACCTTGAAGTCTTTGTGAAAGAGCATCCCAGTGATGCAGAAAACAGTAGCTGAAAACGACATAACCATCTGCATCTCCATCACCAAAGAGTAAGTGATGTTCTGCTTTGCTTTCTTGTATGTCAACTCAATGGCTGGCAACACAAAACCATAGAGCGCTGAAGCTCCAAGTGTCATTAAAAACCCCAAGAAATATTGTCGCTTGGATACGTTAGCTGGGCGATCTGAACTTGTATGAAGTGCAAGAACTACTGCTCCCATAGTCAACAAAAAGATTGCGTTGATTGTAAAAGATGTGAACTTCTGCTTAACCAATAAAAAGGCAAATCCAGCAGTGAAGGCCAATTGGGTTGAAATTATAAGAGCTATGGTAGAGATAGGGAGGCGAGCAACCCCATAAGCATACAAAAAGTCATCCACGCCGGTAAGAAGGCCTAGAAGAACACTAGCCAGAAATATAGGAGGTTTTATGAAGAAAACCTCGGTCCCAGGGCCCCCCATTCTTCGACGATACAAGTATGAAACTACGAGGGGCAATAGCATAAATGGCCAGCCGGCAGTTTCTAAACAGCTTGATATCCAAACTCCCTTACCACCTTTGAAGAAGTAGAGCCGCATTATAAGGGGGCCACCGACATGTCCCAAGCCTAACATTGTGCAATTCAACACGAGCAACGATCTTTTCAGCCCTTTGCTCATCTTCTCCTCTTTGTAGGGTACTTGGTGGTTGATAGTTTGAGTATCCATCTTAAGACTACGGTTTATGCTTCACTTGATCTGCATAAGAAAGATTGCGTGAGAGCAAGTGAACATATATATGGTTGATATACCAAGACATGAATGCTATTTTTGAAATAAGTTATTCCATTAATTCCCTTTCTCAATTGAGGGAATGAATCTAGTAAGCAAGAATCAAAATATAATGGATGCAATCACAAACACAGTTAACTAAATCAAATTCTACTTATCATCACCATGAACAAGAATACCTATCTATAATCATCTCTTCCACATACGAGATCAAGATGTCATTCCATCATCAGTGACCATCTCTTGGAATAGGAAACAGGCAATATCGGAAATTCTACAAAAAGATAAACGGTGTAACTAGTAAATTACGCAGTAGTAAAGACAGAAACCTTCTCAAAATATTGTCAATTTGTCAAAATTCATTGGCTTACCGTTCCATCATCAGTACCAATGCAAGCAAACAAACACATGCTTAGAGAAAAGACACAAATGAATGGTATGAGAAGCAAATATTACCCTAAATGGGTCACTTATTCAGCTTACACTGATCAGAACTTCTGAAACTGCCAGGGAGCTTAAGTTGGACTTTTGAGACCTCTAAACCTGATAACTTCCAAGAAAAATATGTGGAAGAGATTCACATGGACGGATTTATAATTGGGGCAGTGGGGCAGCTGCCCCAAATGAAATCCTAAAATCACTTTTAAAAATATTGTGGAATTAGACAAAACTTTATTAGTTTTACATTTTGCCCTCCCTAGGTTCAATGATAAGAAATTGGATTGTGCTGAAGCAATTATTTCCATTCCTCCCAAGAAAATAGTGTTTTTGTTGAACAATGATAAGAAAAACATAGTAATTTTGATCATGAAAAACAGAAGAAGAAAGAACAAAATGGCATTACGTTAAATAGAGAAGAAGACAATGACCCATAATCAGAAAACACAAACCGAGGCTAATTCTTAGCTACTTGAAATCTGAAACAATGAAGTGCCTGACACGTCCGTGCTGACTGCTGAGCATTGAATGACTAGTGACCCAAAGGATTCTTTCCCATAAAATGGATTCGTAAAATTTTCTTTATTATTTTTATTTTATTATAATATATAATTATAAATCCTGATTTTGGTTACTATCATATTATTTTTTATATCTATTTATCTTTATATATATACATATATATACATATATATACATGTGTATATATATATATATAAGTGTTAATAGCTTGTGACTTATTGATAATGTATTAAATTTTTAATTTTGTGATCAGAATTTTATCATTCACAATCTCAAATATAAAAAAACAAAAAATAAAATTAAAAAATTTTAAAAGTGGTTAACTTTAATACCCTAGACAATTTATTAAATTATTGATCTTATTATTGATTAATTATTTATGAATTTAATGATTTTGTTTAATAGGCACCTATTGAAATTGAAACACAACATGTATTATTACTAAATAATTATTGTCCGCAATTCTGTCTCTATCTATGCCAATTTGCTAGAATATCCACTGCCAAAGTATCACAATCACCAGGTGAATTCTTGAATCTTTAGAAAATTTCCCGATCATCTTCTGTCATTAATTATATTCTAGCATTTATTATAAAATTGTAGAAGCATAAATAACATCTATAATTCTAACTTTCTTTTTTTATCGTAAACACCCTTCCAAGTTCTGATTACTCCTAAATGAAGTGAAAAAAAAATTCCAAGATTTATGCAAGAGGTCGATTTGGATTCTTGCATCTGGAGGAGAAAGAAAGTTAAGTAAACGTCAATTATCAGATTATTTGTAGTAAATTTACACTTTCAAAAGCTGCAAAATTAAAAAAAAAAAAAAAAAGGGTTTCCAACTTTATTTATGCCTGGTTTTATTTGGTCGATGATTTTTACTGTAAAATTTTGAATGAAATTTTTTTTTTATTTTAAATTCATCACTAAATAAGGATCCAACAAATCCATGAATTTAAAAAAAATAATAAAAATCATATATTAACAAACACAAGTACTTAAACCTGAAATGGGAATAAGACCATGGAAACAAGCACAACTAGTCCAAACGATCTCACAAACACATGTACTAACTAATGGTACTAATAAATTCGAATATTTTCCAAGAAAGATTTGCCGTCAAGCGTGTTGCTTTGCTGAAGCTCCACATAGTCTTGATATTTGATTGCCCTGTATGCCGGTGGGTTGCTCTCATTGTCCACAAACTCTGACGCTGGGCTAACAACTTCATCTAGTGCCGGTCCATGCTGCACAGCTATGGATATCCTTGTAGCTTTGTTGTTCACCAATGCTCGATGCATTAAACTCTTGTACTTACCATTACTCAAAATCTTTGCCCCATGAACAAACGATTCATATAAGAACAAAATGAAATAATTAAAAAAAAAAACAGAAGTTGAAGATGAGAATTTGAGAGTAGTGCACCTCAATATGATCACCAACGTTAACCAGAAATGAATTGGGGATGGGATCGACGGTGACCCATTTCCCCTCGTGCAGCACTTGGAGGCCACCAACTTCGTTTTGCATTAGGAGGGTCAATAGACCATGGTCTGTATGGAGGGGTACCCCTATTGTCAGTTCTGGCTGTGGACATGTTGGGTAGAAGTTTGCCACCAGGATTTGAAAACCATTTTCCAAATTCAAGGTCCTGTCCTCTGATATTCCTTTCACTAACTCCCTTGCTACTTCCCTGACCCTTTTGCTGTATTCTAAAGCAATTTCACTACGTTCATTGAGAAATTTAAAAAAAAAAAAAAACCTTGTATCAGTCAAGGTTGCTTTTGCTGCATATTGCTTGAATAAATATAATGGCATAATTAACTTTAACTTTTAGTGGGAATTACAAAAATATCCACCTCACACCAGAAAGGAAAATAAGAGGACCATGTAGAAGGCAAAAGAATCCAGCTTAATAGCAGGGGAGGATTTGGTACGTTGGTAATGCGTACTTGCTAGGCTAGTCATTTTTTTCATCATGATTATTGATTAACCATCACTATTAGAGGTGGCAAAAGCTGATCTGACCTGAAAAACCTGTCCAATAGATCGAATCTAAACCCAACTTATCTGATTTGAGCAAAAAAGTTAACAATACAAACCTGATTTGATTCGAATCCAAACCAAACATGAATCACTACTCATGAATATTATTGCTGAATTCTATATTATAACCTCCTAATCGATTCCCAAGTTTTCTTCCTTGTTTTCGCATTCTTTAGTCAACAATTTGATATAAAAGGTTGGGAACTAAACGTAGCACGATAGTCTAGAAGGAAATGGGGTGCTGGTATTCCAATTCCTGAACTTACATATAATATACATGCATGTATACTGCTTTTCTTACCTCTAAAATTCATTCTAAACCTTGTATTATGTTAACCGATGAATGATCGAGTCATGAAGCTACGTAGGATAATACCTGAAGGAAGGTGGCTTGCTAGGTGAGTGGAACTTAGGATGCACAAAGACCTTGAGAAAATTCCTCCAGAATAAAACTTTATCTGCTGAAACATTGAAACTGGTACCACACCTTATTGGGTCCAGCACATGTTTTGCTTCAAATTCTTGTTTCTCGTCCTCCGTTAACTCGAAAAATCCTTTACTCGCATCAATTATTGCCTTCATCAAACTCTCTGGCACCCCATGATTGATCACCTGACATCCACAAAGTTTAAAACCAAAAGCCTAATAAATGCTACTACCATATAAATTAAGGATTTTATATAATATATGTAAATCATGTTCCTCTATATATGCCACATGTACCATGAAGAATCCCCAGTCTTGACAGACTTTCCTGAGTTGTTGAATGATTTCAAAACGCTCATCAAGACCATTGGAAGTGAGAAGAGAGAAATCAATGACGGGGATAGCGTCCTCATCAGGGTCTGAAAATATTATTTGATGATCATGAGGACTTGCAAAATTGGAGATGTAAAAGGTTGGAATTGAAGCAAGACCAGGCAATTCAGCTAGTGCTTTGACACTTGTTATCTTGGTTGGTGGGTGATTAACAGATGCTTGTAAGGATTGGGGAACATAGGGAACCGTCGCGGCCATCCAGCCAGAAGACAGGGAGAGGAAGGTAGACGCCCGAATTGGTGTATTGCAAAATTTAAGTGGAGGATTTCTTTTTACTTTTTTTTTTCTGTTGCAAAAAGATGAATATATGTTTTTTTTGTTTGACAAACTACACGAATAATTGTGAACAATTTGAGGAAAAACATGAAGTATATCATACGGTAGAGAAATATGAAATGTTAAAAAAAGGCCAACCTGATGCAGGTTAGATAATTGCAATCCAATTAACTTTGCTTTAGAATAGAACCTGGCCAATATGCCCTATCCAATGGGTCCGCCCAATATTATATTTGGCTTATCTCCTCAACCACTAACAACATGCAATTTGCAGGACCCGCCGCCAGATTTGCTTAGATTCTACTTGGATTCAGTACTGCAGCCTTTCTATCCAATTCGACAATATCTTTTTGTCGAACAAAGCAAAAGGACGGAAGAACTGTTTGGTCATTGCCCAAGATTTGGTTATCAGAGCAGGTCAGGCTCCTGATCCGCTTTCATGGAAATGATAGGTCAAAATATACTTTTCCGGTTAACAGAATCATATCGTTTAAAAGGTTTTAAATCCATTAAGGTTCCTCCAAATGTCTCAATGTTTACATTTGTAAACATAAAATATTCTGTCTTATACTATATAGAGTTACTAATTTATTTGATCAACTGATTGGCGGATCGATTGGGCGTAGTCCTTCACAAAACCACATCGAACGTAAGCCTACAACGTTCAGAAATGGTCCAACTACTAGTACAAGATTAGAGAGCATCTATTTTTCTTTCAATTTCATCGTCTCCATCCCTGTTGGCTGTAGCAACCAAATGGAGATACGATCTTTTACTGTGTTTAACCTCTATCAAGTTGAAAGCAACTCACAGTATAACTCAATGTGATTGCTCATACATGGTTGCATATAGTTTTGTTTTTGTACTTGCCATGAATTTCTTCTACCTGGATGCAATTATGGAGAGTAATAATCCAGTTAAGGTTTTGAGTGGCAGTACTCTAAACTTTTTGTTTTTTGAAAAAAAAGCGCTTTTTGTTAACATGTCTTCAAATTTCGAGTTGAAATCTTCTCAATGATTTCATATTCACAAAAACCGACGTTACAGAGTCAATGATGATGTGGCACCAGGACACTACATTTTAAAGACACATTCTTTTTACTTTTCTTGTTGTTTTCAACAGCTAGTGCTGACAAATACGAATCTCGTGACATTGAAGCCGAATCCAGTGGCCACGATTTGACGGTCTTAATCCGGTCAGAAAAACAAAATAATTTTGTAAAACTAACAAGGAACAGTGGCTTTCTTTTGTTGCAGGTAATTGTTCCTATACCCCAACGGCGACAGAAAAAGAAATTGGGACAGGAAAAGTCGTATCTCATTTTACTTGGCCATTTATTTCATAAAATAATGCTTCACCTCCTGCTTGGGAGATCAATCAATGCCATGATCAGTTTATTTGTTTATGATCACCTAAAGAACGAGTACCTGACAATTCAATGTAGGGTTTTTCATTTTTCTATTTTCTTACTTCATAACTGGAGTGTTTTGCTAATTTTGCTTCCCAAAGACTTTAAACTCTTATCTACTTTGGACAACATGTGAAGAATGACTTGCAGTTCCTTGGGGGCTCCTCCATTTCCTTGACAATTTAGAGGATTAAAATTTTCAATTCTTTAAAATTGCACTTGAGATACACTTGAGAGAGATGAGATAATCATAACAGAGAATCATGTACTGGACTCAGTAATTAAGCTAGGGATCAACCATTTATATTGCCTTAGTCACTTTTCTCAACATGCCGGAACTTCAGAACTCACTCCTTTTTCTTCTGCGGACGTCAACGTATTTCCTAAGGGAGTTGGACAATGGACTTGAAACTCATTGGTTTCTGTAAATAAACCCTTTTTTTGGTTGATAGATGTAAATAGACACATTTAAACATGAATCATAGCATGTTTTTGAAAAGGGCATTATTTCATGCTTCATTCTAGTGTCACAGAAAGAGATCTATGCTAAAACAGGAAATGGTGGACATATATCCTCTAGAACGCAACAATTTTCCACAAGGGAAAGCATACTGCCTTCTGATCCTAGGCGGCATAACTTTATCTGATATCCCCCCAGACCAGGGGCTGATTCCCATTGATAATCTTCAACTGAAACCTTTGAAAGATTTGAGTAAGATTTAAGACTGAAGCAAGAATGTCAAAGGCTCATTTACACTGATTCTCCTGGCAACATATAAGACTGATGCTAAAATTGACATTTCTCTTGTAGACCCAAAACAATTTGCCCCTCTCCATGTCTACTGACATGTAGCAAGGACAGCAATCTTTAAACATGAAGAAAACATAATCATTAGTCACAAAAGTTTTACTTACATCTGCATGTTTTCTACAGAAAAAGTGATGCTGCAACAAGCACAACAACTATCCACTTCAAAACATGATCCTCTTTTTGATGAATCTCATTTCTGTGTATTATTATACAAGTTTAGCATCATTTATATTTATCAAGGTTATTAATATTACAGTCTTTCCTTTTTTTTTTTTTTGAAATAAAAAAGGCTTATAGGAAACCCTCAGCTTGTTGAGAGTTCCCAAGACATCTTAGATTCAGACGTCTCACCTGAAAGTGGATACACGCAGCAACGATCAAAAGCTTCTCACAGGAGGATTTGTGTTGCGGCTCTTGTTGTTGCATATTGGCAACGAGAATTTTCCATTGCAAGAATATGACCTCTTCATGAAAATTTGCCTATTTTGCAAAGACCTACCGATCGAAGAATGACACATCAGTCTCAGCAAACCTTGATTTCCTGCAGCTCTCCTTGAAACAATTCTCACGCTCGATTCTTTCCCCTTACCCAATTCATTATCTGAATTGCCAGTAGATCCCTCTGGAATACCAATAGCAAGAGCCTGGTTGATCTGAGAAGCTGCCAAGGAATCCAAAGAAACCGATCTTCTCAATGGTTGAATCCCATCATCTGCTCCTGAACTTTCACCTTTATTTCTTTCATGTTCAACAGCTAATTCTTCTTCCTCATCTGTTCTAATCCTTATTTCGCTTGTTCCACCATCAGTTTCTCTCTCAGGTTCTCCATCATCTTCCACAATTACCGCTTGGGTTTCCTCACTTACTCCTGAATCTTCAGTATTTCCCTCAGAGGATGAGGGTCCTTTATTAGCAGTGTTTGAGACAATAGGTGCCCGGCACATAGGACAATTGGTATGCGATCTAAGCCAAGTATCAATACAAGGAATGTGAAAAGCATGACTACACTTTGGCAACAGCCTGAGAGTCTCATCTTCTTCAAACTCATTCAAGCAAACAGAGCACTCTGTTCCTTCAACAAGACCCTCATCTCTCTTATACTTACAAACCGCGATGGAATTAATGATAGATGGTTGCAGACCTACGGTGTTGATGTACCAGATATGATGGTCAACGATGGGACCATGATCTTCATCAAGGAATTCATCACGGGTTTCAGTTGTTTCAGGCTGCGATCTCCTCCTAGCATTAGACCGGCGTCTAGAGAACCTGACATAGTAAACATAATAGCATAGAACCAGAAAAGCTGTGGCGAGAACTGAAAAGGTTATGACCAACAACTTGGTAGGTGTCTTTGTATGAGGACTGGGCTCATAAACGTGACTCGGAGGAGGAGGAGGGTATAGGTCTGTGTAAGGAGGGTAGTAAGAACAGTTCTCGGGACAAAATTGGTAACATGCTGGATCACATGATTGGTAACAAACGCCACAGTAGGTTTCATTGCCATAATCAGATAACAACTTTCTATGTTGAAAACCCATTTAAGGGAACCAAAGATCAAACATCAAAACAAAAGCCAAAAAGAGAAAAGATGCCAGGAATCAGGAAGGAAGAAATCAAAGAGGAGAGAGAGAGAGAGAGAGAGAGAGAAGGGAGGGGGGGGGATTCCCTTGTTGGGTGAAGGAACAAGAGGAGAAAACTAGGGGAGGGGTTGGTGACTTTACAAAGCAGCTTTGGTTTATCGAAGAAAAATTTTGAATAACAAAACCAGAACGGAGAATAGAATAGAATATGACTTTTTTTTTTTTTAACTTTTCTGCGTTTGTTTTTGACTTTCTTGGTTGCCATGGCGGCCGATATTGAACTAGCAGCAGCATTAATGAGTTAAGTTCACATTAAGTCCAGTCTCAGCCTCTTTTTTTTTTTTTTTTCACCGCATCTTGCAATATCTAGTTAGTCATATGTATAGATAGTTTAAAAATAACAAAAGAGAAAAATACTTTTAGCTTCATTTCATTATTGCAATTATAATTTAATTTTTAAGTAAATTTATCAATGCATTAAATTAACTCGCAACATCAATTGAATCAATCATTTTAATATCAATATAGATAAAAAAAATTTGAAAAATTATCTCTTATTGAAAAAAAAAAGGTAGAAGGCTGGCATAGATTTTATTAAAATAAATTATAAATAATTAATACACTAATATAATAAATAAAATATGTGATTATAATTTTTAATTATATTTGTGAAATTCAAAAATTTTATCCATAACATATAAAATAATAATTCAATTTTTTTATGTCAAAAAATTAAGTAAAAGTTGAAGGGGACACTCTCTCCTTAGAGAGGGGTATTGATAGTCGGATTTATCATTAATGGTAGTATGGTTGAATTGTTTTCAAGTCTAACATGCCCTTTTTCCGTACTTCTTTTTCTAATAAATTTTTCTCTTTTTTTTTATTTTATTACTATAATTTATCAATTTTATAGTAATATCAAAATTTTAAATCATTTATAAATACATTAATGTATTATACAAATAAATTCAAATTTGGATTTTTCCTGTCATCAAATTCAATTTTGAATTTTTTTGACCTAAAATAATTTTTTCACAATCAATGGCTACCTTTTGTCTTATATAATCACCTTACCTCATTGTTATAAACCACCATATATCAATTTATTATAAATATGATGAAAAGAAATCTGGTGAAATTATTTGTTTTATGTGCCCTCATAACATAGCAGCAAAAATTTCCTTTTTTCCACAGTAAAATAAGCAACAAATCTCTTTATTCAGAAAATATATTCAAAAACTTATTTATAAAAAAAAAAAAAGAAAAGAAAGCAGCATTATTCTATTTGTATGACATAAGAAGAAAGGAACAATTAGTTTGGTCAACAAAACGAGTTCAACCACAATCTTATGGATTCAATTTTTAATTATGCTACAAAAAATAAATTGAAATTTGAAAATCGCCTTAAACTTAGAAAATTAATGCATGGTTAAAAAGTCTTAAATTCCAGATTTTATAATGAATATAAAACGACCATTTAAGACAAGTGGGTATTCGTTTTTCTTCCCTTCGGACTAAAGAAAAGATTTAAAAGAAAAACAAAAAACAGTCTGTAAATCTTTATTTTGATTAGTTATAACCATTTAGTCAACGATGTTAAAAGTATTAATTTTAATAAATAAAAATAATTAAACAATCAAATAATACTTTTTTATGAGAATACAATTTAAAATAAAAAATATTACAAATATTTAAATTTCAAATTTAATAAATTTCACTTTTTAAAAATAATTATATAAATTAATTATGTTAAAAGAATAAAAATAAACCAAATTGACATTTATTATTGTTCAAATCTAATCTTCATTATTACTTGATTAGTTGATTTTATTTATTTTAATTAAGTTTTTTTAGAATAAAAAGTGATTTGAGTAATTATATCAAATCCATTATATATTTTTTTATTATGTGTTGAAAGTAAATTATTCTTTTGATTGATTGTTTTAATGAATGAAAATCTTATGTTTTAAAACTGAGAATATTATATCTTTAACCTATATATTTTCATGCAATTTTAATATTATAATAAAAAAAATATAAAAGAATAAAATAGTTTTATTCTAAGGATTTTTTTATGGTATTAGAGCACAATCTAAACTTTTAAAAATTTTTACTCGGAGTCCAATATGACCAACAGAAAGGAAAGTCTAGTGTCGGAGGTTATCTTTAACCTTGGAGTTAGCGTTTTTCAATCACTGCAGAACATTACTACTTCTATTCGAATAGGCTTTTTAGCATAAAAAAGTAATTTTCTAAATGTCTTGAATGTAAAACTAGAGAAATTAAATTCATAGATTATGGATTCAGTAGCTTCAAACTATATAATTTGGGATGTATCTGTATTTAGTAAATATAACTCATGTCATAAAAACTTCATAGTTTGAATTATTGATGGGTCACTTTCAAAAGTAATTAGTAAATGTTCTATTATTATTTCTAAAGAAATAACACTTGATTCTATTTTATTTGTCTTAAATCTAAGTTGTAATCTATCTATAAGCAAACTTACAAGAGATCTTAAGTGTGTTACTAAATTTTTTCTAAATATGTGTGAATTTCAGGATTTTGATTCAAGAAAGATGATTAGCAATGCTAAGATGTATGCATGATTACTCTATTTCCTAAGAGCTAATGATTCTGAAAAATAATATCAAAAAACCTCTTGTGTGACTTCATCCTTCAGTAATAATAAAGATAGTATTATTATATTGTAGTGCTATCAGTTAGGTCATCCAAATTTTTGTACCTCAAAAGGTTATTTCCCCCGTTGTTTAATCAAATTCCTAACAAATTTCAATGTGAAGTTTACAAACTATCCAAACATATTTGTATCACATATCCTAATCAGCCTTACAAATCATCCCATCCCTTTTCATTGATACACAGTAACATTTAGAGTCATTTCAGAATAAATAATATTACTAGTTTTAGATAGTTTGTCATATTTATTGATGATCATGCTAAGGTTATAGAGGCATTTCTTATGAAAGAAAAATCAGAAGTGAGTCAGCTATTCTAAAACTTCAACAATATGATTCAAACTCAATTCAAAACCAAAATCTAAGTGTTAAGAACCGACGATGAAAAAAATACTATAATTTAATTCTTTGATCATATCTAATAAAACATGGTATAATTCATCAAAGCTCATACGTCGACACTTTTTAACATACTGACATTGCTAAAAGAATAATCGATACTTGTTAGAAGTTATAAGATCCCTCACAACGGCTACCCATATACTTAAGCATTTTTGGGTTGAGGCTGTTCTTACTGCTACATATCTTATAAATAGAATGCTTTCTCTAGTCTTGAAATTTCAAAGTCCTTGCCAATCCCTTCTTAATTCCTATCCTCACTTTCAAATTATATTGTCTATTTTCATTAAAGTGTTTGGATGCACAACATTTGTTTTTACCAAGCAACAAAACCAAAGCAAATTATATCTCAAATCTATCAAATGCATATTTCTCGGATGCTCCCTGAATAAAAAATGATACAAGTGTTACTCATCAGTAATAAAGAAATTCTACCATTCCACGAATGTTATCTTTTTTTTAAATCAACCTTACTTTCTCAAAATTGTCATTTATGAAGAGAATCTAATCACACGGGAATATTAACTTTAGGAAGATCCTATTACTGAACCACTAAACACTTCTTAAATTCATTTTCATGTCCAAAACATCCACCCAGATCCTTCAACTCCCTTTCAAGTCCAAAACATCCAACCAGATCCTCCAAGCCCAAAGTTCACACAAAAAAAACAAACAAAGAATTTGATTATCTACTCAGAAATATAAAAAACTCACACGAATATAGGAGAATGCATACCTTCAAAGCAAAACTCAAAAGTCTGAATCGATTTCAGAGATACTTGAAACCAACATAAGTAACACTCTTACTAAATTTGATTCAATTGAATCTTTTGATGATCTGGATGAATAAATTACTTTAAAGAAAATTGTAAGATCATGTACTCATCACTTAATCCATAATGTGGTTTCTTATGAAGGTTTATCACATAGTTATCAAGCTTTTGTTACCATACTAAACAATATGCAAATTTTCAATAACACTCATGAAGCACTAATGCAACCAAAATGAAAAATGACTACTTTGAAAAAAAATCGAAGCCCTAGAAAAGAACAAAACATGAGAGATTTTAGAACTACCTAAAGGAAAAAAATTCAGTTGGGTGCAAATGAATTTTTACTATCAACCATAATGCAGATGAAAGTATTAATAGATTCAAAGCTCACCTTGTTGAAAAATGATTTACTTAATCTTACGGTATTGATTATAAGGAGACATTTTCTCTAATTGCTAAACTTAATTTAATCTAAGTATTTTTATCATTGAAAACAAATCTAAATTGGTTACTGCATCAACTAGATGTCAAAAATGTATTTCTTAATAGTGATCTAGAAGAATAAGTTTACATGGAATCCCTCAAGGATTCAAAAACCAAGATACTTTTGGTAAGGTATGTAAGCTTCAAAAGTTTTTATATGGTCTCAAATAATTTCCATGTGCATGATTTGATAGACTGACAAAAGTGGTAAAGAAGTATAATTTTTCATAATGTCAAACCAATTACACCATGTTTGTCAAACATTCACTTAAAAGAAAATAATAATTATTATTGTTTATATGGATGACATTATTTTTATTAAAGACTATATGGAAGAAATTAGCAACCTAAAGAATATCATATCCAAAAAATTTGAAATCAAAGATTTGAAACACCTCAAATATTTTTTTCGCATGAAGGTAGCTCGCTCAAAGAATGGCATCTCTATTTCATAGTGTAAGTATGTCCTAGACTTACTAAAGGAAACTAGAATGCTTGGATGCAAACCAACTCACACCCTTATGAATACAATGAATAAAGTAGGAATGGAAGAAGGAAGTTCACCAACAAATAAGGGTAGATATCAAAAACTTATTCAGAAACTCATCTACCTCTCTCATACATGATTAGATATCAATTTTTTAGTTACCATGGTAAGTAGATTCATGAACAACCCAACCGATGAACACTTAAGGGCTGTGTATCAAATCTTATAGTACCTAAAGAAAAGTCATGGCAAAGGATTATTTTTTAAGAAGACATCACATCGAAATGTTGAAGTTTATACTGATGTTGATTGGGCTAGATTCGTTATTGATCGAAGATCAACTACTAGTTATTGTACCTATGTATAGGAAATTTTGGTTACTTGATGAAGCAAGAAACAACTTGTGGTGGCTAGAAGTAATGAGAAAATTGAGTTTAGAGCTATGTTTCATGACATATGTGAAGGAATTTAGCTAAAAAGATTGCTAGCGGAGTTAATGATCTTTGCAGAAGAATCTATGAACATATTCTACGACAAGAAAGTTGCCATTAGTAAAGAATCTTATTCATCATTATAGGACTAAACATGTGGAGATTAATCGTCACTTCATCAAAAAAAAGATAGGGGAAGGAATTATTAGATTAATTTATACTCCCACATGCCTCCAAACTATAGACATACTCACTAAAGCTCTGTCTCAAAATAATTTCGAGAATCTTAAGTCCAAGTTAGGCATGATTGATATCTACCATCTAACTTAAGGGGTGGTGTGAAAATATAATATTCATTATTACTTGATTAGTTAATTTTATTTATTTTAGTTAAGTTTTTAAGAATAAGAAGTAATTTGGATAATTATACCAAATCTATTGGATTTTTTTTATTATATATAGAGAGTAAATTACTCTTTTGATTATCTGTTTTAATGCATGAAAATTTTAAGTTTTAAAACTGAAAATATTTAATTTTTAACTTATATCTTTTTATAAAATTCTAACATTATAATAAAATAATATAAAAAATAAAATAATTTTATTCTAGAAATTCTTCCTATTACAATTTGCATCGAATTGAAATCAAGGCTTCAAATGTATGTATGGACTTATTTCTCAAAATAGATTAATGAATTGGGCAAGTGAACGAATAATGACGAAGTCAAATCAAAATTTATTAACGAGGGTTCTTTCTTCAACGCCTTCCTTTTGGTCATCAATGAGTTCATAACCCCCTGAAATCAACCTGCAAATTTGTGAGATTTTTGAAGAGTATATCTAACTTGAGGATTATTCATCTTAATAAAATCAGGGGTTTCCGATTCTAAATACCAACCATATTCTAAAAGTTTTTTTTTTCTCATTTACCCTGATATTATCAACACTACTTCTTTATTATTATTATTATTATTATTATCCAATAAACCATAACGAGTGCCTGACTATTGATAATAAACATTGTTACTTTTTTTTAATGTGCATTCTAATTTATTATTCCTTAGAAAGTGGCATATTTTGGTCAAATAATTTTTCAACTTATAGATAATAAATATTTTTGATCGATAAGGACTAAAGAGGATCTCCTTGTGCTGTACATGTTGTAAGTGATTTACAGCTATTAAGATGAGAGCTTGACATGGAGGATCAACATCTCCTTCAATTGAGATGATTTTGGTGTATGGCTGACTATTGCCAGCATGGCTAGCTAGGCCTGAATGGTGGTTGAAAAGGTTCCTTCAGGAATATGATCCACCCCTGGCCAGGCCCACACTGGGTAGCCAAATGATTTGATTATTTTTAATTTAATATAGTGTTTTGAAAAATAATAGTTAAAGTTCGTTTAACAAAATGGGTAAGAAGAATATGTATTCAACTTTTTGAAATTAAATAATAAATTTTATTTTAATTTAAGTTTAAGATTTTCAAATTAATAAATGTTAAATTAGCTGCCAACTGTTCCACCACATATGTCAGTACAAGCAAACATATGTTTGGCTTTAAATATATAGAAACAACTTGCCATCGATCTTTTCTCCTAAACAAAGAAAGTAGTCCAGATTTTGTTTTTGAATTAATAATTTTGATGTATACTTGAGATAGCGATTGAATTTAAGCAGGGGTGAGCTTGGACGAACAAGTTGTTTCTCCAAATCCAAACATCAAATGCTACTTCAAATCATAGTTTAAGTGTAACAAAGAGTAGAAAAATCCCCTGAACGCTTCAAGTTAAATTTCTTTAGTACGTTAGGAAAAACTAAGGTTGTTGAAACTGGTTTTAATTTTAATGCTTCGGAATGAAGAATTAGGTGCTTGAAACTGAGCCAAATCACTAATGGTAATGACGTTAGACCTAGGATCTTTAACTCCCACGTCTCCAATCCTTGTAAATTAAATTCAAAAGTAACGATTTTGAGACTCAAAATACCGAGAAGGAAACAGGGGATTGCCGCCATTACAAAAGCATTGCTTTTGCAAGGGAAAATTCCAGTTCAAAAATGGAAGTTCACATCCAAACACGAAAGTTGACAAAGCCATCAACTCCAACACCAAATCACCTTGGAGAATTGAAGTTATCATGTTTTGATCAGATTGCTCCTCCAACATACGGCTTATTTGTTTTCTTCTTTCCTGCTGATTGCTCTATCAGCACATCCAATAGAGATGAAAGACTAGAAAATTCACTGTCAAAGGTACTAACCAGCTTTTACCCTCTAGCTGGTAGAATCGATCAATATAGGAACGCCATTGATTGCAATGACCAAGGGGCTGAATATTTGGAAGCTCAAGTCAATGCCAATCTAAATCAATTTATCCTGGACGAGCTAGGCCCTAAATTGGTGAACCATTTAGTTCCTTTCCCGAATGAGCTAGTCTTTACTCCCACAGTCCTGGCAGTTCAAATCAACAAGTTTTGATTGCCGTGGTTTAGTTATTGGTGTCAGTCTTTCACACAAGTTTGCTGACGGATACACAATATTTACCTTCACAAATGAGGGGCTACTTGTTGCCGCATAGGTGTAGATAGAGTGAAATGTTTAAGTTTTGAAACTGGATCTCTTTTGCCTGCAATATATACAGCAAAGCATAAAATTCTAGTTACAGATGATAATTCAGAAAATCTAATCACAAGGAGGTTTATTTTCAAGGCAGCAGCTATATATGCTCTCAAAGCCAAAGCCGTTGCCTTGGCTGGTGATTCAGGACTTAAAGCCAGCAGCCTTCCAGGGTGCAGCTGTTGATTGCCCTCATATGGAAGGCGCGCATTGCTCTGGCTCAAGCAAAACGCAGGTCATTTATTCATTACAAATCTTTCCTCTTTAACTTTCGTGGGAAAACAGCCATACCTACACCACCAAATGCTGGAGGCAACCTATTCAGGAATGTCATTGTCCGATTTACAGCAAATGAGAGGAAGCTGGAGTTGCAACTTGGTGAAACTAGTGGGAAATGAACTAAGGCATGCTGCCAAATCTTTTGCAAAAGCAGAACAGGCTGAGGATTTGTTCTTCTCCGCAACAAATTCCTCAAGAGAGATCCATGAAGAACTAATCAGAGGGAATACAGATATTTGCGCCCATACTAGCCAGTGTAAATTTCCCTATTATGAAGCTGATTTTGGTTGGGGAAAGCCTGGTTGGATAGCGAGTGTACACAAGCCTGTGGAAATGGTTTTGTTAACGGATACCAGGTCTTATAGTGGAATTGAAGCATGGGTAACCTTAGAACCAAGTAATATGCTTCAATTCGAGCAAGATCCTGACAATTTGGCCTATAGTTGTAAGCCTGTAGAAAACCACTCAGTAAGTCACAACTTAATCATAGACTACAGTATATTAAAATCAACCTAGAAGATTTTAGCCAATCACAATGCTAATGTTATAGTTCCTTGATTTGAAGAAGTTTTTTCCTATTTGATACTATGTTAAATGCCATATTGTCCATTGGCATAATATCCTTTAAAATGAGAAAAAAAAAATCGGTTCAATTTGAGTTTAATTTGATTGGTTCATTCAGACATACTTAAAATATATCATCTAATAAATTTGAATCTAATACCTGAAATCATTTTCTCTATCCATAAGTTTTTGTTCCTTTTTGTGTAAAAAAAGAAAAAAAGAAAAATTAGGCCCAACCCAAAAGGCCAAAAAGTTGAGTTTAAGAACAAAAATCCCAAAACTTTCCAGAAACGGGTTAATTATAAATAATTAAAAGTACGAAACTAAAATGATAAGATATTGTTATTAGCTAGGGAGTTCATATATCAGTCATGCAAAAATACATTGTTATGACAGTAAATGTTTGGCTTGCAAGGAACAACCGACATGCTCAGCAATTTCGTGTTTTTGCTCAATTCTGGAAGTAAGAACGTTCAATACGCAATCCATGGGTTGCCTTTAAGCTTAGTTGAATCAGTTTTAACTTGCAACGAACAGGTCCAAGGCTTATCCTTCTTTCAGGTACAAAGCAAAACCTGAGTTGACCAAATGTCCTAAAGGCTTAGCATCCCTTGGAGTGCTGAAATACTTTTTCGGTTTTTTTTTTCTCCTTTTTAAAGCATTTTTCAGTTTTAAACTAAATTGGCAAGAAAGCAGTCCCACAAGAAAATGGCATTGATAATTTGATCAGGGTTTGTGATGGTTAAAAACCTGCAACGAAGCATATAAGTAGCCATATATTGATCAGCTAACAGGTTTGGTGTGAAATAAAATTGGAAACAATACAAGAGGTCGGTCTGCTTCTTACAAGCCGCAAAATTGCATTGAATTGCCACTTCTTCATTAAAAATCTGAGTTGAGCAATATCTCTCCAGGTTTCCACAATCAAGATGCAGCCATGGCTAAGCCAAAAGGTTTCCCTATGAACCAAGGGCTGGGATTCATCAGCACCAATATAGGAATATGGAGAAAACTTGATGCCAACATATAATTAGTCATATAATCTTCCTGAATTTCTATTTTATCATCAACATTAAGTAGTTAATTTGTGACATTGATTAAATAATTCTCCATTATGTTTAACTGTAGTACTACTGCAAAGGGTGAGAGAGAGAAGGATAGCCCACCAGCGGCTGGTTCAGGTCCTCCAAAGTTCAACTTCTCCCTCTGGTATGAACTTGCTTGAGTTGTGATATTCAATGTTTCAAACCCAAAGAAAACGGTTACTATCATTAGAAGACAAGCATAAAGAAAATCACCATTTTCATGTAGGGCAAAATGCCTTCTGGCCTCTGTGCTGAGTTTCCTGCCCTTCTGGAAGGAAAAATGGGCAAAATTGAAGAGGATTCAAGGTAAAAATTATGCGATAAGTTAAAAAAAAAAAAAATTGCTTCCATTACATCTCAAAAAACTTGAGACAAAATTGTTAAGATTTGGTGAAGAGTATAGAATAAGAGTCTTACAGCATTTGATTAGAATTGGTGAAAATATAATATAGTTATCAGATTTATCTGAAATTTTGAAATGTATTTTCAGGAGAATCAGAGCTGGTAGTAGTACAGGTCGAAAATGTAGCGGGGGTAGTGGAAAAGGTAGCAACCGCAGCAGAGAAGGTATCGGCTCAAGTGACAGAAAAACTTCCAGATGATAGCAAGCTGCAAAAGGCAGCTGTGGTGGTCGAACATGTTTCAGAAAAAAACAGCCCAAGATGCTCACGGCACAACATAATTTCATCCACCAGGTAATGCCTTGCCACTTCAGTTATCTCTTCCTGCACTGTAAGTTACTTGGTATATTAAAAGGAAAATAATTAAAACCTCTGAACAATTGCTTTGCAAAACTCAATGGTTGAACCAGCATAAATATATGAATTCTTTTTCAAAAATTTTGATTGAAGATGAGATGTCTAATATGCAATTGCTTGTGTAAAAGCAAAACAAAAGACATGTAAATTAGAAATTATGGCATTTTGATTCTATAGAGAGGCTGGCAAATGCATTAAGCCCTTTGTTGATTGAAACATATAGCTTGAGGCAATAAAGCATGACGTGGATGGCTTGGAGTAATTGGTTGAACCCATTGTTAGCAAGATCGTGAAGCAAGGACCCAAGAAAAGTAATCCATTTACAATTTTATTTGCCATTTAACCCCATCTGAGACAGAGTCATTGTTTTGCGCCTATGGCTGGCTGTGGGCCATTATTATGTAATTATTATATTTGATATGATATTATATAAATTATATTTAATTATACCTGAAATAAATAAAAAAAATTATTTTTAAATATAAAATATTATTTTTAATATAATTATAAAAATAATTAAATATATATGATTAAATAATTAATTAAAAATAATTTTATATATATTAAATCGGATCGAATTTATTTAAAATCTAATTCAATTTATTATTATTATTATTATTATTATTATTATTATGACTGGACTTAAAACTCAATTTAAATTAAAAATCAACTTTAAAATATGGAATCGAATTGAAACTATTAGACAGTCATCTCTACTTTTAACCAATACCATAACGCAAAATAAAAAGATGTGTTTCTTCTGATCCTTGTTTATTTCCTTGGTCCAAGTGTGGTCAAGATCAACCCAACATCATCGTTTTTCGTCTCACTGGTGCAAAGACTCCAAATTCCAAGTTTCCCCGGTAAATGGGTCACGGAAAACATGAATCACGAAAAGCAATGCTATCTGTCTGGAAAAGAAACTAAACCGACAAAAGATAGCAACCTTTGTCGTGCAAAACGTTACATTGTACTTTGGTAAAAGCTGTCAAAGATACCAGAAAATCCAAGAAAATCATAACTGAAAAATCCAAATCCAAATGGAATCCGTATCTTATAAAGAAGGGAGATTGATCAAAGAGATCATGTTGACTCCTTTGAATAACAACAAAACTGTCCGTTACAGATCCGCTTTCAAGTGTAAATTAAGCCTAATCATGTTGTTTAGTTTGATAATTTAATATTTTTAATTAGCTAGATATTAAGAAAAACAAAAGCAATTAACGATAATGATAATTTAACAAAAATAAAATGAAGCCAAGCAGAATGTGTCAAACCATAAAATAATCGGCTGTATCTAAAACCAAGCACTCAAAAAAATAGAAAGAAAAATACTAATGAAGGCAACTACAATAATGAACTCTTTGTAATCGAAGAAAACCAGCAATCAGCGACTCTACATGACCAAAACTAGAGCCAGGAGACAAAATGCAACGGACCCAGTGGTAGAAAACCCGTTGAAGACGGCAGCGTTCTTGGCTGGCGCAGGAGCATCAGATGGTGGCATGGAAATCGATGAAGGAGGTTTAGACACAACAGGGGACTTAGTAGGGGGAGAGTAGACAACGGGAGATGGTGTAGTAGCCGGTGGAGTAGTCTTCATTGGTGAAGGCGCATGAGCCGGTGGGTAGACGGAATGAGTTGGAGCATGGGATATTGGAGGATGGGCCATTGGAGCATTGGCTGGAGGGATGGATGGAGAAGAACTTGGAGGATGAGCAGGCGCCTGGGATGGAGATTGTGCGGCACCAAAACCAAAAACCAAAGCCAATAGCATCACGTAAACAATGCTTAAACGAGCCATAATAAAGAAGAAAACAAAACCAAACAACAGTGGAGAATGGAATTAAAGAACCCTTAAAAAAGTTTACAATCAATTATTATTAGTAGGAGTTGTGAATGCGAGTGTAGAGAAGAGTTTGATAGCCTTTAAATACATAGAGGAAAGGGAGTGGTGAGGGTTTAAATTAGACTCGACGAATTTGTGTATTTGAATTGTATAAACTATTAAAATTTATATCTATATAAAAATTTTTAAAAAAATTATTTTATTAAATTTAAATATAATTATTATTAAATTTTTAAATTATATTATTTTTATATTTTATATTTATATTGTATTATTATATTATATTTTAAATTGTTAAATTTAAATTAAATCTAATTGTTGACGAATTTTTAAAAATGATCGGGATTTGAAGGTCGGTAGCCTTGTTAATAGAAATATTTTGGCTTTAACTATGGTGAGCTCAGGGAGACGTGGGTTTTTGGATTTTCGAGCTTTTTAAAGGGTTGTGCTTCATCCTGCCATATTGTTAATGTTAAAGGCCTTGTGAAATTGGAAAGAAATTAGTAATTACCAACAAATTTTGGAAACAAATATCATCAATTTGATTTAATTAAAAATTTACGGCGGGACCACTTGTAATTGATGGAAAGAACTTCATTGACCGGTTCAACTTTGAAGGTTATATGGAAAAACAAGAAATTCATGCGAAAAATATTGTAAATTATTAGTAAATTTGTTTAATTTATAAGTAAATTGTAGCCCTATACATTTTTTTTATGTTAAATTGGAATAGGATACACCCAGAAAAATATTTTTTAAAAAAGTTATATTTTAAATATTAATATTAAATAAATAAATTATTTTTTAACCAAATTTGATATACAAAACTAATAGTTAGAATTCAGTCTGAACCAGTTCATATTTATGAATTCAGTCTGAACCAGTTCATATTTATTGAAATTAAAATTTCAAAACCCAATCATTAAACGCGCGAATGCGAACAAAAGAAAATTGACTCTTGGCGTTTCTTTCTCATTTTTCATTTTTATTATTATTATTCATGTTGTTCGTGTGCAGAGTAATGCTGAGTTATTTGATTCAGCAGAGACTTTATGAAACGCTTGGAAAATGAGATATAACTTGGAATATTATTGCAAAATTTATTTTATTAGATTAATATGTAACATAAATTTTCTATTCTATGTAACATATATTTTAAAAAATAAAAAATAATAAAGGAAACAAAAAAGTGAAGCACACTGATCGTGAATGGAGCCCCGCTGTTTACTCAAATCTCTACATCATCAAAGCGGCAGTGATCAGCCCAAAAACAATGGATCCTGAGCCAGAAATTCTGTTCAAAACGGCGCCGTTTTCCGAAGGCTCCAGAGCCACAGATGGTGGAATGGAAATTGAGGACGGAGGGTTTGCTGGAGCAGCGGCAGAAGGCTTTGGAGGGAAGTTAACAGTAGCGGGGGATGGTGCAGCCACTGGTGGAGTCGTGATCGGAGATGGAGCAGAAACCGGTTGCTCATCCGAAGGCGACGGTGAAGAAGGAACAGGAGCAAAGACGGGTGGAGAAGTTGATGGTGGCAGTGAGCTTGTCGAAGGTGCAGATGCAGGGGATTGTGCCATAGCAGAAACCAACAAAGACACAAGGAAGAAGCAAAGAATGGATGAGTTAGCCATCGTACTGAAATGGAAAAAGAAACAAATCAAGAGAGAAAGCCCACGAAGAGATTAGATTGGTTTTGAAACTGGATGAACTTTTGAGTGCTGATGATCAGTGCAATGCGAAGACAATGAGAAAACGAAAGAGTATATATAGAAGGAGGGATCAGGTGTGGCAACTCGGACGAAATTGCGAAAACACGGTTTTCGCCTTTGCGGTAATTGCGGAGAAAGAGTCCAACTCCAACTAGGTTGGTGTGTTTTGATTCGGTTTCATTCGTACGCGGTAAGGTACCGTTGTTTCTTTTCTGTTTCATTTGAATTTTTTTTTTTTTTTGGTTTCACATTTGTACTGAGGGGTAACCGTTATTAGCCGTTGGATTCTTTACGATTCGTTGTTGTAACGGTGTGAATTGGCAGATCGAACGGTTGAAAAAACTTACTTTAGAAGATTGGAAATGTGCAATGGTAAAAGTGAGAGTTGGGGCCACTAATTTCGGGGTAACTTGACTTGTCATGATGTAAAAACACGAGGAGTTTTGTGTAGTCGGAGGCAAGATACACGGCACGTTCCCAAATCATAGCATTTCGCATATATGGGGCAATTGATCAGCACCACACCTAACATATTTTCTAGCTTTTAAAATTATTTTTATGAAGTTGTTAGAACAAAATAAATTATAATTATATTCAAATATTACATATAAATATTAATTAATAAAATAAATAAAAATAACAAATCTATATATAATTAGATAAATTCATATAGGATGAAATTTGATTATTTTTTAAAAATATTTCAATCATTATATTTTTGTCGAGGTATTTTTTGCTATTAATAAAGTGACTGATTGAGTCACTCCAGCGTTAGGGACGGAGCAAAATAGCAATGCTATTGGAACGAAGGAGACAAAACGAGAGAGAGGAGAGAAGCCATTACCGTTAAAATTTTAACCGCTGTATTGGTTCATGCATGGAACGTTTGGCATTTGCTTTAATTAATTTTAAAGAAAGGTTAGGGGGTTGCTTTGCGTTAGCATTGGTGCTTCTTCTACTTTGATTTTGTGACTTCAATGACGACTTAAAACAGCATTGCATCTTGGCTGTTGTTGTGGGGTATCCTGATGCAATCCGAACCGTTGAAGTTTTGGTTAAATTTTTTTTTGTATTTGCAACGGTCGGTTCGGAAAGATTTGACGGTTTTTATCTGGTCATTATATTGTCACAGTTTATTTATACATGTCTATTAAATAATATTAAAATATATTTACAAAATAAATATTTATTAAACTTAATATCTCAAATTAAATATTTAAACATTTGAATTAACACGATTTATTATTCCAATAATTCAAATTCAATCCAATCTCGATTCAAGAATGAAAAACTGAAGCTCTTCAACTCATTTATATTTTTTATTATTAACATAAATGAGAAAATGTAAAAATAAATGGAAATATATACTACAAGCTTTATTTTTCTTTTATATTTTATTAACACAAATCAAAATTACAACAATGAGAGACATAATTTAGAAGCTTAACAAGGTCAAGCAGTTCCAAATTCTAGGAACAAACTTGTTTTGTCCAAATTTACACGTTATAGAAAAAGAATGGATGGCTCTTCCTCGGTATGCATAGGAAACCGCATAAATTTTTACTATAGCATGCCAAAGCAAACATTAAATTTGAGATAGAATTTTAAAGCATAAATCTTCGAACCTTTAATCAAGTTCAGAGATGATGTTCTCTTCCTATTGTCATGTCAGTTGTAATAAAATCATGTCGGCAGTTACCAGCATCTAATGCAAACCGGATGCAGCATATCTTAAGATTCAGATGCAGCATCCGCTGCAATCGTGTTACCGTTGCCGCCAATAATGAGACTGTTCAACCTGCCATTAAAGTCTAAGCCATAAACGTGGCCCATTTTAGCGCGTTTCGTCTCCAAGTATCTCTTATTCTCCTTTGTAATAGGAGTTAGTAGCGGAACCCTGCCTGCAATTGCTAATCCATAACCCTTGAGTCCACTGTATTTGGCAGGATTGTTTGTCATCAGTTTCATCGTTCGCACACCCAGGTCCCTAAGTATCTGCAAGGAAGAATCAAATTGTGAGTTTCAGGAGCTTCTTTGAGAGGTAGAAGAAAGTAAAATCCATCATAATAAAGCAAAACAGATGCACCAGTCATATGGTAAATCCTTTAGCAAGCAGCAAACCAGGGGTCCGATCCTTCCCAATTTATTATTGCAAACTTTCTTCCATATGATGTCATAATTGAAGAAAAAAAACAACTATCTGAGTTCCAGCTTGCAACAATTCTATCATTTTCTACATCTAAATAGCTATGCAACTCATGAAGGTTCCAACTTAACATCACAAGTATTTTGTAACCAGTAGAATTTACACAAGCTCCATGTTAATTTTAGTAATAGCAGAACCTATAAAATGATTCAATGATCATATCAGTAAATATTTACCCACTTTTTAGTTTCAAAATTTTCTTTGTTTAGGGTTGATTCAAGGTAACATGACAAACCCTTGGGCCAAATTAGGTCACAGGACTAAACTAATATAGTAATGAGGCACAGCAGAATTAGAAAATTATGTTCATTTAACTCAAGATGGCAGTTGGTGACTACAGAAATAAAATCATTGAATACAGTTTCTCAAGTAGCACCTGGATGCGTTTATCAGAGAAAAAGGGAGAGGAGAAAACAGATGAACCTTTTGAATGCAACTGAATTAGGTATGGTTTTGAAGAGGATGTACCTGTGCACCGATGCCATATTCTCTCGAATCCACAGGCAATCCAAGCTCCTCATTTGCTTCAACTGTATCACGACCAGCATCCTGAAGATTATAGGCACGAAGCTTGTGGCCCAAACCAATACCCCTGCCTTCATGCCCACGAAGGTATACCAAAACACCCCTGCCAGCAGCCTCAATCTGTTTCATTGCAAGGCCAAGCTGATTCCCACAGTCACATCTAGCAGATCCAAATATGTCTCCTGTGAGGCATTCCGAGTGGACCCTCACAAGAATATCTTGCCCATCTCCAATCTCACCCTGTTTACACCATGGAAAAGAATCATGCCATAATCTTCAGGGAAGGATCTTAATCCAAGAAACATAAAGTCTAAAGGAATATACAGAATGGTGCAACCTTTGATATTTATGGAAAAAGAATAGAAGTGTGCTCATAACAAATTGAAATATTTCTGACTTGATGCAGAATAGGAAAAGTATTTATATAGGATTTATATAGATATTAAGGTAAATCAGGTATATAGGAAAGTAAAACTAACTATAAGTATGTGGGTACATTCTTACCTTTACCATTGCTATATGCTCAATCCCATCTAATATTGACCTGTAACAATAGGCCGTGAATGGCCCCCACATAGTAGGTATCCGTGCAGCACCAGCACGATCAATTAATTTATCTCTCTTTCTCCTATACCTGTAAATCATAAGCAGTATTAGAAGTTGTTCTTTACTTTATCATTCTCAAGGAGACTCCATATACAATTGATAATAGTTTTGTCAAGAATTAAGTTTGGGCAACCTAACCATAGAATCCATGAAAAATAAGTAGAAAGCAAAGCTCTGCATATAATACTCATTAATTTACCTGATTAAATCAGCAATGGATATAATTTTCAAGTTCTCCCGCTCAGCAAATTGATGAAGCTTTGGTAATCTAGCCATGGATCCATCATCATCTACAACCTCACAGAGAACTGCAATAGGGTCCAATCCAGCTAGCATTGCAAGATCAACAGAAGCTTCAGTATGCCCAGCTCTTTTCAGAACACCACCTTCCCTGTATTTCAGTGGGAAAATATGACCTGGGCGGTTGAAATCCTCAGGTTTGGAAACTTTAGAAGCGAGGGCCAATACCGTTGTTGCCCTATCATGAGCTGACACCCCAGTTGTAGTACCATGTTTTGCATCCTGCAAAATTGGTTTTAATGCAATACAAAAGTTGAGAACCATTGGAATTGTTGAACTAGATAGTACAGAAGGCATCTTTCTAGAACTAAAATCAATGCATCCCTAATCATATTTCGTTCTAACTATCATAAAAAATTATTCAAAATGGTAATTTGAACTTATCAAAAGTTTATAGGCAATCATGATAATCAATATGTTCCAGTTATCTAACATTTTCAGCATTCATACTCAACCTCCAGTTGGGGGCTATGATTTTCAAATATGTTCTGCCGCAGTAAATACAATTGGACAATAAAAACAATGAATCTGAAATATACATACGAACTTATTTCTAAATAAGCTATCATTTCATTAAAATGAAATTATCCATGTATCGAACTTATAGATATCAGATAAAATAACATACTACTGTAACTGTGAATGCAGTGCGGAGTTTCTCTTCATTTTCCCTTTGGTGCACCATCAAAGGAAGCTGCAACCTATCCAGATCCTGCTCTTGCATGCTCACACAAACTATCCCAGTTCCATGCTTCACAATAAAGGCCATAGCCTCAGGTGTCGCCAACTGAGCTGCCATTATTAGATCTCCTTCATTTTCTCTGTCCTCATCGTCTACAACCACTACCATCTGCAACAATAATTCAGATTAGTCAAGCAAATGACTAACATGCAGAAAAATAAACATACAAGTATTACCAGCTCATGGGACAAAAAGCATCCCAAGCAGAAAAACTAACCTTGCCTTGGCGAATGTCCTCAATTGCCTCAGGGATGGAAGCAAAACCTTCAGTGGGACGATCCAAATCAAACTCATCATTGTAAATGGGAAAACCATTACTTATAAGAGCAGTATCTGCTGCAAGAGTTCCAAATGCTATTGCATCCTGTTGTGCTTCGATCCCAACTGATTTATCACTGAAGAGAGTACCATTTGTTGAAGCACCATTGCCATTGGAATAAGACAGGAGGCCGCCCTCTCCAGATACAAGTGCAGCTCTAGTTTTGCCAACACTTTTAATAACGAAAGATGATCTATTACCCAATCGTATCAAGGCCAAATCAGATGTGTATCCATTTGCAGAGAATAGATTTGTGCTGTGTAATCCATTAAAGAATTTGAAGCTTTTGGATGCCCTGTGCACAAAGAAAGGTCACTATGAATTGCATACAATCGAATAATACGATAATTGTACAGACTGTATAAGGCTTTAGATATCAGTCAATGTGGTTGCGTCTGGACAAAATCTCTCCAAATCTTACCTTAAAAAAAAACCTTTGGCATTAATTTGAACATAAAAAATGAGTTAATTACACTTTTGGTACTTAAACTTTGAGAAAATGTACAAGTTGGCATCTAAAAAAAATAAAATGTACAGTTAGCACCCTAAACTTTCAAATAACATACAATTTGCACCCTGAACCGTCAAATTATGTAACATATTAACCCAACCTCTAATCTCGTTAACCATATCAGCTAATATATGTGGCTTTCAACAAATATTATCAAGTTATGTGTTCATCACACATACTATCAACATATTTTTTTCAATATAAAAAAATATATATTTTAATTTACCTGAACCTTAAAAAATATCTAGGATTGGTCAATCATTTTTTGTCACGAGACATTCACATGAAAGTTTTTACAAAATATTTAACACTTTTATTTAACATATAACATGCATATAACAAAATTATACTAGTTAGATACCAGATAGGCAAGTTAAGTTAACAATATTAGAATTTGGATTAAAATTATATATTATTTGAAAATTCAGAGTGCAAATTATACATTTTATTTTGCTAGATACCAATTTGTACATTTTCTCAAAGTTTAGATACCAAAAAGTACAATTAACTCAAAAAATCATAAATTATAGCTAATTTGATCACCTTAGGCAGAAATCAAGCAGACTTGGAACCTTGAAATGCACACAGAAAAAAAAAAAAAGAACCTTAGGAATAATATAGAAATTCAGTGTAATTTTCTGAAAATCGCATACCAAACGAATCAAATGTGAAATAGCAACAGAAACTCCTTTATTAAAAAAAAAAAAAAAAGGTTTATATTCAAACAAGCCCTGTATAGGCTGTACTTTCATTTGGCTTGCTAAAGTTGGACCTTTTATGTATTTCTTGTTGTACCCGTTTCTTATCAATCAAACACAAGGACATTTCAGCATTCAAAGAAATAGCAAGTAAAATCACCATTTTGATTTCCAGCCAAGGCTAATTCTTGATGCAAAGACAGGAACTTTTGGTCAAAATGGCTAAGGCTTAAGTTCATATTTAGCAATCTCTTACAACAACTTTGGGTTGTTTAAAGACAAAAGTCAAAGACCAAATCTTAATTAACCACAGCGTCTGTATAATATTGATACGGAAGCATTGACTGGTAAACCTTGAAATTTGATTTAGAAAACCAAATAACAAATGTTGCAGCAAAAGAAATAACAAAGAAGACCCAAACGAAATTTCGCTTAAGCGAAAGGATTCCTACGTGAAAGGCAAGAATTTAGATACAAACTATCCGAGCAAACCCATCAAAGAAATAGAGAAGATAGCTTACTGAGGTCGAGAAACAGCTGCTGTTGAAGGAGAAGAAATGTTGAAAGAAGCCATGAGCAGCCAGAGAAGAAGCTAAAAACCTAATGGGATTTTCGATCTTGCAATTGTAAATTGTTTTTTTCTTTTTGTGGGTGGGGAGGGGGGAAGGCTCTTTGTTACGTTTATGTTGTACTAGTATTTATAGAGTTAGGAAGCAAAATGGATGAAGCAAAGCGTAGGCAGGAAGCAGCGGCGAATTGAATTTGTGTAGATGAGATGCTAACCGCGGGTGAGCTAGCAGCCAGTCTTTGGTAGGTTTCTTACTATGACTGGTCAACGGTCATTGACAGGCTGGAATTTTTGTAGTCTTTTTTTAAAATTATTATTATTATTATTATTATTATTATTATTATTATTATTATTATTTACATAATAAGTGAGATTTTGTAAATCTTGATTTTTAACCTTTTATGTTTGTTAAGCAATAAATTATTTAGCACTTTTTTTGTTATTAAAAAATTTTTACAAATGTTTTATTTTTTATTTTGCTCTTAAAAAAGATAAAATCTAAAAAATTAATCAATTAAGATAAATTTTGAATATGATAAGAATTATAATTACATACATGATTTATAAATATTTATAAATGTTAACAAAAAAACTTAAGTTATAATTATTTGCAAATTGACAAAAAATCATAGTAAAAAATAAATAATTTGATATTAAAAATTATAATTAAGTTGTCTTTCAATTGTTGACAAAGTAATAACTCAAATGATATAAATACTGATTAAATTTTTAAAAATTACGATTTCGACAGTATTTAATAATGTAATGTTGTTTTTAATTGAGTTAAGTAAATAAAAATAAAAGGGTTAATGATAAATAAAAATTTCAGAAAAAAATCTTTTAATCTGTCAAACCTTGTAATATATGTTATAATTTTTTTTTGCCAATTTAGGTTATAATTTTTGTTTAATGTGTATGAAAATAAACTAATAACATGAGAATTATGTGTGATTACTTTAAAAAATAAAATAAACATAAATCAAAGTAGGAAAAAGGTAGAGGTTTACACTTTACATGATCAAACTAAAGAAGACAAATTCCATATCATCCCTCAATCATGTGGGATGAACAGTGCAATTCAATAATAATCACTTTGTCAGTACACCCTTAGGCTTGCCATCTCTGGTTTTTGCTACATTTTTCAAGAAGATAAGTTTTTTTTTTATTATTTGGAATACTCATGTATCGATAAAAACTAAAACAGCCAAAAATGGGTATAGCAAGTTGGCAATGTGACATTATGGTAAATCAAATGCCATCGTATCCTTACGTTGGAACTTGGAATAGATATCGATACAGAATTTTCTTTTAGGTGTTAAATTATAATATATAAAAAAATTATTAATGAATTTATTTAAGTGTTTATTTATAATATGTAAAAAAATTATTTATAAATTTATTCGTTTTGTGATAAAAAAAAGATATTCAATAAAAATTTTGAAAATGATCATTAAAAACTTTTGTTTCAAATTTTTTATTATTTTAATTTTAAAAATATCCATACATATTTTACCTATTCACATGAATTCGAGTTAAAACATCTACATTGTAAAAATTTTATTATAAGGTCATACGTAAACTCTTTCGTGTGTCACGAATTTAAGAAAAAATCATGAATTTATATCGAACATAAAAAAAAAGTCACTGAGGTATATAAGAGTTCACACCATCTCTTTCTTGTAAGATGACTTTTGTATGATAAAACTGTGAGATCAAACGGTTAAAGCGAATAATACCTTACAAAGATGTGAACCGTGACGGTTAGGTTGATCTGGGACATCGGATGAATGGATGCCCAGATCTCAAAGCAGCGTGGGTTTAAAGTTTAAATCTCGACCCGTGACAAGTGGTATTAGAACCAGTCCTATACCGTTCGATCCACGTCGAACGCCTTGAGAGAGATAAACAAGATGATCAACTTTCGTGACGAGGACGTCATGAGGTTGGGTGCGAGAGAATATCATGGACCTAAGGAGGAGTCCTGAATTCACATTGAACATAAAAAAAGGGTCACTGGGGTATATAAAAGTTCACACTATCTCTTTCTTGTGAGGTGCTTTTTGTAAGACAAAACTGTGAGGTCATGAGGGCCAGAGTGGATAATACCTCATAAGGGTGTGATCGTGACGGTTAGGTTGATCTGAAACACCGAATGAATAGATGTCCAAATCTCGAAGTTCGAAGCTTAAGTCTCGACCCGTGACACAAGTACTCACAAAGTCACAACCAATCCGATGGTCTCGTTTGAGTGTATTGAAATTTTAAAAAAATTTTAAAATATGTATTATTTGAAAAAAAAATTAAATTGAACACCCGCTGACTTAAAAATATTGGGATCATTAATATGTAATATTAAAAATGTTAAAATTTGCAATGGATTATTATAGAAATTTCAAAATTTAAGAGAACTTTCACAATTTTTATAGATAGTAAATAACAGAGCAAAGTCACATGGCTTTGGTCTTTAAAATAAAGTTATTTTTGTTTTTATCTTTGTTTTTTCAAACCTAGATAAGGAAAAGATTTATCTCTTATACTTTGCCCAATTTATAATAAAATAAATATAAAAAACTTTTGACAATTTCTATGTTATCAGTTTATTACGAAAGCAAAACGTGAGAAAGAAAACAAAGGAGAGAGACGTAAAATGGAAAACCATTCGTTACTTGTGATCCATCATAAACCAGTAAAAAATGAAAAAAAAAAAAAAAACCCAGTTAAGAAGAAAATAAAAGTGTGACGGTTTATTTTTGGTGTAGTTAAACAAAGGTCAATGGCGAGAGAGAATTCTTCGCTTGAGGTGTGTGTTTAAAATTTTTAAATCTTAATTTTCATCTTCTTTTTTTATTAATAAATACTTGAATAATAAATTAGAATTCTGCAATTTTCTATTATCATTATAACTTAAGTTTTATTTGTGTTAATAGATTGATATACTTCAATATTTGATATAAAATGTTGGATTTTTAATTGAATTTGAATGTTTGTGGTATAGTAAATTAGTTACTTTATAATTTAATCACAATTAGATAATAAATTTATATTTAATACATTATCTATATATAAAATTTATATATTATTAATGAATTAAATGATGTTATCATATTAATAAGTAATTATCAATTTTTAAAATAAATATATAAAAAATTAATGAATTTAAATATTATTTAATTTACTAATAATATATTAATAATGTATCAAATATAAATCATTAAATTATTAGGTGAATGAATGTTAGATTGTTAGATGAATTAAGTTAATAAATTTAATGATTTAGTTGTTTTGTCTTTTAAAAAATACTAATTGTTAAGGAAAAATAAAAAATATACTTCAAGTACTATTACTCTGTAATTTAATAATTATAATTACAATGTTTCTAAAAAATAATTATAATTAAATATTTTAACTTTTCTAGATAAGCTTTTTTTAAAAAGAATAAATTAATACCAATTAATGAAATCCATTGATGATGTTTTCTCGATTATGTAATAATCATATTATATTATCCAGATTTATTTAAAATCTCATAATAAAATGATTATGTAATTAAAAAAAAGTTGAAAAAGGAAACAGGCAAAAACAAAAAGATAATGACAAAGCGGGTGATGAAGCTGGGTACCTGAGAAGGCGAGGGAATCAGGAGAGAAACGATGGGCTGAGAATTGAAAAGTAGCATGCCCCACCACCAATCAACTCCTACTAAAGCACGCGACTTTGAGAATTGCATTCCTCCATCCATTGAGAAGTTGTAACATTGGCGTCGCCCGAGGCGGCTGTTAGCCACCACTTTAAGCTTCCCGTCCTATTTCCCTGAACCTGCTTAGATTTAACTGTTTCCACGTTTATTTCACCATTTTCCTTGACTTTGACCCGTTCTTTTCCTTCGAACTGTTGACGAATGGCCTTGAAAGTTGAAATAAAACATTATTTATTAGTGGTTATTTAAAGAATCTGATTAATGGGTATATCGTTTTTATTTTACTTGAAATTATTAGGGAATAATTTTTTATTATTGAAATTAAAATTTTAATATTTTATTAAAAGCTCACACATTTGTTGATAGAATTTCTTATTTATAAACAATTATTTAGATTAACAATTTTTTTTTTCATTTAATGTTATTATCAACCAATTAAAGGACAGACAGTACATTAATTACAAATATAAATTTATTGAGAATTATAAAATATTTTTATTAACTCGATAAGTTCTAATACGTGCTTACGTGGCTCTCAAAAAATAGAATCGTAAGCCATCTATCCGCCGTTGAGGTATGGATAATGATGCTTACCATGACGTGTTTACTAGGGAATAGGGACTGAGCCCGTCAATTTTTTCGAAGGGGTCCAATTGAATTTTATATTTAATTTAAGTTACATCAATTAAAATCTAAGACAGATTTATATTGACAAATATAGTTAATTATTTTACCTTTGACCCGTTAATTATAATTTTTTATAAATATAGTTCAAAACTTTAAAATTTAAATCAACAAAATCTATTGATAACCTTAAGTTAGATTAAAGAAATTCAATATACAGATATATATTAATAGACAAATAACTAAATACATGAATGAAAAAAAAGAGAGGATAAATATAAATAACCAAACATAACATTCAATTAGATTAATGAAATTCTATATATATAATAAAATAATAAATTATAACACACTAAAACTAACTTACAAAATGAAAGAATTTCGTGTTTTAAAAGTGAAAATTTTTTATTATTTATTTTGAAAAAGGAAAAAAGCTAGACTCTGAACCAGAAGTAACAAGCACTAAAATTTCATGAAAATATCATACAATTTCATGATATTTTACTTTTCAAATTAATTTGAGTTTTTATAACATCAAGGTAAATGAAAAAGATTAAAAAAGAAGTATACCTCTTATTGCAAGATTAAAAAAACTAAATAAAGATAAAAGCTTATAATAAGTGGATTTTTAAAGTGCATAGAATAAAAGTTTAGAATGACTCTCATTGAATTACTTTCAGAAGTTGTTCGAGTCCCAAAATCCCGGTCAATTTGGGGACATGTTAGAGGCTATGGAGGTCAAAGTGTCAACAGGGATGAATGCAGATCTTGTGACAGAATTCAGGGTAGAGGAAGT